ATTTTCATTTGAGCAGAAAGTCGCACAAAACAAGCATTAAAACACGCAAAAACACACCAATCGCGCATTTCTATTTTTTTCTATGAGAATAAAAATATGCCAAAAATATACAAATCTGCCCAATTTGAGCTGCAAAAGTAACTCCTTTTTGAGCTTCTGGTATTCTGCTTCTGGCGACTTGGAGTGGAGATGTCAACCATCTCCATAGAGTAATACTGATATTTTTTCCCTCCTGAGCATTTTGGAGGTTTGAGCTACAAAACACTCAGGAGTGAATGGGAGCTAAGACCTGGAACAACAGAATGATACACCAGATGCAGGGTAATATGCTCTACATCAGTAAGATTTGAAACTCTGTAAATCTGACTCATTGGCTAGAGCCTGCACTGACTCAGAAACTACAGAGATGGGACTGTTGGGACCCTGTACTGACTGCCATTTTCAAGGCTGTGGATCTTTTCAGATTCTTTTCCATCTTTATAAAGTTCCTTTACCTTGTTACAGATCTTTTATATAGTCTGGTGGAAAAAACAAACAAAATAAATAAATAAATAAATAAATAAAACACGAGTCCATCTAGTTCAACCAATAAAAAGGAAAATAAATTGTACACAATCCTATACCCACAGTTGAAAAAAAGAGCAGCAAAGCATGATCCAAAAAAATCCCTTCCAATTCCCCCAAGAGGCAATCGGATATTCCCTGGATCAATTTTACCTATAAATGTTCGTATCCAGTTATATTCTGCGTATCTAAGAAAGAATCCAGGCCTTTTTTAAAGCAATCCACTGAGCTGGCCAGAACCAACTCTTGAGGGAGTCTATTCCACATTTTCACAGCTCTCACTGTGAAGAAACCTTTCCGTATTAGAAGATTAAATCTCTTTTCCTCCAGACATAAAGAGTGCCCCCTTGTCCTCTGTGATGACCCTAAAATGAATAACGCTACACCAAGTTCACTATATAGACCAGCTATTTATTATACATGTTGATCATATCCCCCCTAATCTCTTCTCAAGAGAATACATTCAGTTCCTCTAATCTTTCCTCATAGCTGATCTCCTCCATGCCTCTTATCAGTTTGGTTGCCCTTCTCTGCACTTCCTCCAGTTCCCCAATATTATTTTTTTTGCCCAAAACTGAACTGCATATTCCAGATGAGGTCTTACTAATGATTTGTACCGGGGTAATATGATATCTCTCTCTGGAGTCTATACCTCTTTTAATACAAGAGAGGATTTTGCTCACTTTAGAAACCGCAGCTTGGTATTGCATGCCATTATTAAGCTTGTGATCTACCAGAACCCCCAGATCCTTCTCCACCATTGATTCCCCCAGTTGTACCCCCCCCCCCTAGTATGTATGATGCATGCATATTCTTAGCCCCAAATGCATCATCTTACATTTATCAACATTAAACCTCATTTGCCACATAGTTGCCCAATTAAACAGTGCATTGAGGTCGGCTTGTAAGTTGGAGACATTCTGTAAGGACGTTATTCCACTGCACAGCTTGGTGTCATCTGCAAAGACTGAAATGGGATTTGTAATCCCAGACCCCATATTGTTTATAAATATATTAAAAAGTAAGGGTCCCAACACTGAACCTTGGGGTACACCACTGATGACCCCAGACCATTCAGAGTATGAATCATTAACCACTACTCTCCAAATACCATCCTTTAGCCAGTTTTCTATCCATTTACATATGGATTTTTCCAAGTCTGTGGACATTACCTTATACGTTAGCCTTGTGTGGGGAACTCTTACCAAATCCAAGTATGCCACAGCCACTCCTTTGTGTATGTTTTTGCTTACCTCCTAATAAAAAGAAATCAGATTTGACAACTTCTGTCTTTCATGAATCTATGCTGTCTGTTGCTTGACATAAGCTACACATGTAGGAAATTAGCCTTTACAGTGATGTTAAAGGCAATTTAAAAAAAAAATAAAATGTCAGACTTAACTGCTCTGTGTAGTGGCTTTGCATACAGCAGCCCCGATCCTCCTCTTCTCAGGTCCCCTGACGGTACTCCTGGCCCCTCCCTTCTGCCCCCACAGCAAACCACTTGCTATGGGGCACCCAAGCAGGCCCACTCCCGAGCCGCTGATCTACAGTTGCAAGAAAAAGTATGTGAACCCCTTGGGATTACGTGGAGTTTTGCATGAATTGGGCATAAAATGTGAAGTTTGCAAAAGAGCACCTGGATGTTCCACAGCACTACTGGCAAAATATACTGTGGACAGATGAAACCAAGATTGAGTTGTTTGGGAAGAACACACAACACTATGTGTGGAGAAAAAAAGGCACAGCACACCAACATCAAAACCTCATCCCCACTGTAAAACATGGTGGAGGGAGCATCATGGTTTGGGGCTGCTTTGCTGCCTCAGGGCCTGGACGGATTGTTGTCATTGATGGGAAAATGAATTCCAGAGTTTATCAAGACCTTTTGCAGGAAAACGTACGACCATCTGTCCGCCAACTGAAGCTCCGCAGAGGATGGGTGATGCAACAGGACAATGACCCAAAGCATACAAGTAATTCAACAAAACAATGGCTGCAACAGCACAGAATACGCCTTCTGGAGTGGCCCAGTCAAACCCGATTGAAATGCTGTGGCATGACCTTAAGAGAGCGATTCACACCAGACATCCCAAGAATATTGCTACACTGAAACAGTTTTGTGAAGAGGAGTGGTCCAAAATTACTCCAGATCGTTGTGCAGGTCTGATCTGCAACTACAGGAAACGTTTGGTTGAGGTTATTGCTGCCAAAGGAGGGTCAACCAGTTATTAAGTCCAAAGGTTCACATACTATTTCCTCCCTGCACTGTGAATGTTCACATTATGTGCAATTAAACCATGGCAACATCTAATGTTTGTGTAGTATTATGTTCAGCAGACTGTGTTCTTCTATTGTTGTGACTTAGATGACGTTCAGAGTACATTTTATGCCCAATTCATGCAAAACTCCACATAATCCCAAGGGGTTCACAAACTTTTTCTTGCAACTGTATATATCCACACAGAGCCACAGATCACCGCCCCCCCCTCTCCTCATTTGCTCACTAGCTGTGACTGAATGTCTCAGCCAATGAGGTGGGAAAGTACCCAGAGAACCGAGGCTCTCATGCACATTGCTGGATCACGATGGGGCTGCTATACACAAGGTTTTTTACCTTCATGCATGAAGGCTAAAAACCTTGTAAGCCTTTACAACCACTTTAATGTGAATTTTAGTCTGTCTGTCCCAAAGCCAAACATTCCAGGGTATGTAAACTTTTGATCAGGGTCATTTAGGTGACTTCTGTAATTACGATTTAAAAAAAAAAGAGCCAAACAACTATGTGATAATAAATAGCTTCCGCTTTACGAATGGCACCAAACTACATCTGAGCACTACAAACCAAAAATGCCATTTTTATTATTCAAAAACTCTCCCATTCATTCATGTCTCCATGCTTTAATTTGCTGAGAAATTGCCTTGAAAAACATCCCCTAGCATTTCAGGGCATGGCCATCTTGAGTAAGGGCAGATGATTAATGTAGCATGTATTCCTTGAATCCATCTGCCCTTAGCTCAGGCAGACAGGACAGTGTTCTTATTTGAAAAAATCCCTTCTGAAGGCTCCTGTGATGTATGACATCATTTGCCTAGGCATGCAATCCAGGAAATAACTGGAGAAATGTAAAAATAAATGCAAAACAAATATAATATACTTCCCTATCTATTTACTAATGCTAACAATATAAGGATAATAAATAGTAAATGTTGATTGAGAGTAAAGATCCACTTTAAATAAAAGCCAGGTTTTTTTTTTGGCACGATCAATATCAATACCATAATTTCACAAGTTAGAATATGCAAACTTTTGAGCACAGCTGATATATATATATATATATATATATATATATATATATATATATATAGCTAGCAACTAGTGCCAGAAGCTGCCTTGTTATCGGTATCTTGTACAGCAGAGCTCAGAATAAGAGAAGCAGCATAAATATTAGTTGTGCGTTAGTGATCATGTACTAACAAAGGACATGCTGATAGCATAATCTGTCACACGGCTTCTTTTTCCAGTCACAAGCGGGGAGAGGCACAAGACCTGTATATGTTACTGACCTGCAGCAGAGAAAAATTAGATATTGAGACCCGCCAGACAGGACTTTTCTGCTTCTGTCTTTCCTGGCCTGAGATTTGCAAACCTTTGGCAGGTAAAACTGGCCATAAAACTATACAATAGGATTGTACAATCTCCCTTAGATTTATAAAAACTATGTAATATGGAGGACAAACCTAAATAATCCATTTAATGTGTATCAAATCGGACAGGCCCTTGCACTACATTAAGGATGGCAGATCTAAAGGAAATATTAACATATATAGTGTGAGGTCAGTCTAAACTGTATTTCATCTGTGTATTTAGCCATATGTCTGGGGTTCAGCAGTATGTCTATGCTCCAGGTTTGTGGTAGATTAATGTGGGGAAGGTTTCTTTAGACCCGTATATTCAACGGAGCATCCCATGCATGCCATGCGAGAGCCATACTCTGCCAGGAAAGAAATGAAATCTGCACACGCCACCTACTGGTAAGACACAGAACAGAACACAAGTTTATAGGAAGAAAAACCCAACTCACGAGTCTTGTTAATAAATATTTTTCTGCAGGAATGAAATAAAAAATATACAGGGCAGTTATCCAAATTTCTCCCAGCTATGTACAGAAGGGGCATCAGGAATTTCAACATCTGCTATGGTGATCTGGCATAGATTTAAAAAAAGGCAGCCCTTTACAAAAGAGCATGGTCCAGAGGTAATGAGCATCAATGATCCCAGCGCTTGCCAGGTTTACACAGAATGCTTCCAGAAACGTTGACACAAGAAATGAATGAGAAGAAGTCTCTGGCAATTATGAGGTTAACTGATGTTAGGCAGCAAGGGCAGGTCCGCCATTCAAGTAAACAATGTGTTAAGAGTGGATAATTCCTGGTCAATGAGTGAGAGATTGGTCTATTAGCTTCAGAGCTCCCCCCACCAGGTGAAGGCTCCCAGTGATGAGGATCTGGATGTGGGCAGCTTCTCTTAGTAGTATGGCACCAGAGCTAGCCACTGGGTGGTGGTGGAGCAAGTTGTTGTCCAGGCAAGGGAAGTCAGGGTCCCGCCCCTGAGTGGCCCACTGCAGGGCATGGGAAATACAGGGGAACACTAGTGAATTACAGTTTAAGAGTCTATCTGAAGAAGGGGCGAGGAGCAAGGGAGAACTGCGGGGGCTGTCCTTAATCAGGGTGTCAACAGGCAGCGGGGAGGCCCAGGGATCAGAACAGCTTCTCTCCTCCATTAACATGTTCCACTTCTTCTGGTTCTCTAGACATCGGGTCAGAACATTCTCCAGCGTCACATTGTAATTCTGCTGATCTGTGAAAAAAAAAATAAAAATGCTGTTTTCTTTTACTGTAGCAGCAACAGGATGTTAGGTGGTAAGAGTAAGTTGCATATGCACAAATATGTAATAGCAACAGGAGAAAAGTGCAAAGCAAGATCTTGCACCTGATTTTAGTATTCTCCCTTCAGTTTTATTCTGTACCCTCTTTTTTTCAGCTCCAAACATTACTGCAAGTGATACCTAACTCTACCAGGCAACATGCACTGCTAAAACCCAGAGAGAGCACTGGCATTGTGAAGACTTTAAATGCAATGTGCTAGGAGCCTTCAGTTTAAGTAGTTCTGCCTCCTTTCCATTCCTCTCTTGTAGCCTATATTCCACAGCATGCTGGCTAGCTGACATTTCAAGAGTCATGCCCTTTCCTCACGGTCATCCTCCAGCATGCGTCTTCTTCTAAACAAGCCAATCAAGGGCAACCAAAGCACCACTACATATAAAGTTACCCATCTCTCCACAGTATGATATCTTTAATCTGGTTTTAAAATACATTTCAACATAAGAGGATTTCTGTACTCACCATAGCTACTGCTAACAGGCTTGAAAAATAAAGGGGATTGCCTACAACTCGAGACACAATCGGAAAGGCCAAAGCCTAAATGCGACAAAGGATGAAGCTAAACCTTCTGCCTGATAGGGAAACCTACCAACAAGACTAAAAAGAAGATGTAGAGAATTAACCTGATATCCCAAAACAAAGAAAAAAAAAAAGGTCACCAACCAGAACAAGGGTGGAATTCAACAAGGACAGGCGTAACGAACCTTGGATCAACCAAGAAGCTCGTCAATGTGAACTCACCATAGTTATATAGTTAGTCTGGCTGAGAAAAGACAAATGTTCATCCAGTTCAATTAAAAAAAAAAGTTATAATCCTATACCCACAGTTGATCCAGAGGAAGGCAAAGAAAACCAGCAACGCATGATCCAATTTGCTCCTGCAGGGGGAAAAAATTCCTTCCTGATCCCCCGAGAGGCAAATCAGATATTCCCTGGATCAACTAATCACCAATAAGGGTGAAACTAATTCCCGTTAGGGAAAACAAAACCCTCAACCTGAAAAGACAAGGAAAAGAATCAAGCTCTTAATAGGAACAGGCACCAGACAGTGAACGTAGAAAAATGTCCTTGTGAAAGGAAGCCCAGATGGTCAAAGCAGGAAGGTCTAAGCCTCAACGTCAAGAAACAAGGAACTCTGTACCTAGAGAAATTGTCAGGGCCGACAACAGCTTCATCAAGGTGAGAATTACCAGAGAAAACCCGTAATACTGACTTGAAACAACAACCTGCAAAAGGGAGCGAAGTGACCCCAGCGTACAACCAGAGATGCCAGGATATGATCCCATGAAGTAAACATTATCAAAAGAGATGGGATGTACATGAAGCACCCTAACAAGGGAAGGCAGGAGATGGAAGAAAAGGTGAGACAGATAACCCTGGCTGTTCACGCTAGACACACACTCACCAGTACACAGGAGACACCACTGGGGGTGAGAGAAAATAGGGATCCTGATAAAAGATAAAAAAAAAAAAAAAAAAAAAAAAAAAAAACACAGTCTGCCTATCCTTGACCTTAAAGAGTCACAGGACTAAGAATGCTCCTGACTCTCCAGATCCAATGAATCAGCAGCCTCTATGGAACAAGTGACAGGAATCTTATCAGGATAACAAGAGTATATTCACCCAAGTGAATCCAAAACAGGGAAAAGGACTGAGAAAATTTTCACAAGTATGAAGCAGCCAAGGAATTTGGGCCTAACTCCAGGTGGACAAGTCCCAAAAAGTCATTAGGGCATTCCCTGTTCCTGTCAGAGGATACTTGAATCAGAAGACTAGTCTGTGTCTGCAGACAGCCCAGGGTAACACAGGGCCCTCACTTGACATTTACCTGCAACGCAGTGTTTGAGATGCACCTTGGTGAGTGACCCTCATCTCCATTTCCAGAATCCAACAGCTGATATGAATGGGATCAGAGCAGCCAAAACTAAATCCCATGGTACCAATCAGCTCACGAATCAAACAACCTCTCCTGATGCAGAAGGACTCCTGTTTCTTCTCGCTGAACACACACCAGTACCTAAATGATGTCCAGCAAGGTATCCCACAATGTAGAAGGAACCACCTCTTTTGGAAGTAGAAAATGTTGTCCCAGAGACCATAATTCACCCATGAGAGGAATACCCTGCTCTGGAGATGGGGAAAGAAGTTCTTAACAGCTGCCTAATGGGGAAGCTGAGCAATCAGGACAGTAGCTACCTCTTACAGGCACACATCCATGCTAAAGTCTTCTCTACAGGCTTGGTAGGTTTCTTGCCATCAGTCTTGCAGGCTGCTAGAGAACAAGCATTTGAAGGTGTGGGTGTGCCTACCCACAAAAGGGGTCCCATTGTGGTGGTAGAGAGACCTCTTGAGACATGTACCCCGTTCTGCCACAGTCTAACAGACGAAAGTCACAGCCAGGACAAAGAGAAGAGCAGGGCCCACCAACAAAAACTGGGTGTTGAGGTATTCTAAAAATAAATAAATAAAATCTGGTCCTCCTGGCTATCATCTCCTTCATTAGCCTGCTCTTCCACCTCTTCTCAAGATTATTCAATTAAACAGTCTAATCTGTTACACCAACTGCTGGTGAGAACTGCTCATGTCCATTGTCAGGCCTGTATTTCTGTACTCTTTGGGTCACCTTCAAATCTTACTTGTTATGCTAAGTACTTCATAACTTTCTGCACATTTTATTGCACACTGTGATACGTAGGTGTTCCTGTGATATCTCTGAACATTTCTGATCAATACAAGGGATGGAATGCCACCTTGACTTTATGCTGTACACTAGAAAGATACAGGTGCTCTTAGTTTTACAGCAATGTACAATACATTTTCCAGGCCTCCACACTCTCACCTACCTGGAAGGCCCTCTATGCCCAATTTACAGAGTGACAAAGTGCCAAAGCAACAAGACAACATAAAATTCCTAGAGCTATTTGACCTTCATCTAAGTGGGGGGAACATTTCTCAACTACCATGTTAAAGCATTTGATCCGTTACACAGGAAAGTCTATAGTTTTGCCAAGCGTCTGATCCACTTCCTAACTGTCGGACCAGACAAAGCGTAGCCGTTTCCTGTTCCAAAATAACCTCACCATGCACCGGCAACTCTGGAATGTCCATTAAATACCTGGTTGAAATTAAAGGGAAACCTCTCTTTAGTATATCTGTTAGGAGTAAGTGTGATGCAAATCATTTTATTTGTATGTTACCAATTCAAAAGGGTTTTGGTTACATAGTTTATGAGGGTGAAAAAAAAAAAAGAAAAAGAAAAAAAGACACCAGGTCCACCCAAATCAACTTGTGTGTGTGTGTGGTTGAGTGATTTTTATTCTCCAACATTTCCTAAGCCCTGTGTATTCTGCTTCCCAAGGAAGACATCTAAAAGTTACTTAAAGTTGTCAACACTCTCAGCTAGTGCCGCTTCCTGGGGGAGGGAGTTCCACATTTTACGGCTTTAACCACTTCAAGTCCGGACACTTTTACCCCCTTCCTGTCCAGGCCAATTTTCAGCTTTCAGTGCCATCACACTTTGAATGACAATTGCGTGGTCGTGCAACACTGTACCCATATTAATTTTTTTACTTTTTTTGAGACAGATAAAACTTTATTTTGGTGGTATTTATTCATCACTGGGATTTTTTTTTTTTTTTTTTTTGCTATATAAATGAAAAAGTCCGTTTTGAAAAAAAAAAAGTGTTTTTCTTATAAAATTTTGTAAATAAATAATTTCTTCATAAATCTTGGCCAAAATTTATTCAGTTTTCTTTTTAGTAAAAAGAAAGAAAAAAAAACCCATATTAGTTTATAACCACAATTTATAATTTTTCAAAATTAGTTTTTTACATTGTTATTTTATTTTTTTATATTATTTATGGGGTTTTTTTTAACATACCGTCACCATAGAGACACTGTACTACCTGTGGGGGGTGATGAATTAGTTTAACACCAAAAATTTTAATTTTTTATATTTATTTTTTTTTTTACATACTGTCATCCTAGCAGTACAGTGTCACCATAGTGACACTGTACTATTTGTGAGGGTGATGAAGATGAAGATTTTTTTTTTTTTTTTTTTACACGGATTGCTTTTACACCCATAAAAGCTATAAAAGCAATCATTTCTTCTTCTCTCTGGCTGCATTTTGCAGCCATTGAGAAATACTGTGAGAGCTGTGATTGGTCACAGCTTGTCACATGGTACAAGGCTGTTGTGAATAGCTTTGTACCATGTGACCTCTGTTATCAGTCACAGATTTCACTAGTAGTAAGCAATGATGTCAGCAAGACATCTTGCTTACTACTATTCATGTGATCACTGATTGGCCAATCAGTAATCACTGATTGGCCAATCAGTAATCACTGAGCAAGCCAATCAGTAATCACTGATTGGCCAATCAGTAATCACTGATTGGCCAATCAGTCAGCCAATCAGTAACATGATTGGCCAATCATGTAATCACTGATTGGCCAATCAGTAATCACATGATCGGGACCATCAGTGTTCCAGATCCAGAGGACACAGCGGGCACCGGATTGTGGTGCACGTGCCCCTAGGTAGCGTGCACAGGTAGGGAATGCGGGAGGGACGTTTATAAATGGCCACCTGCTCCTGCACTGCTCCCGTCCGGCCATTTATGTACATGGGCTGGAAGGGAAGTGGTTAACCCCTTTACGCCGGCCGCGCACAAATGTGCGGCCTCCCGGCGTCTGGGCCTAGACGCCGAGCGGCCGCACATTTGTGTTCATGTAAGAAAAAAAACATATGTGCTGAGATGTACTCACGGAAAGGTCCCGGTCTGCTCTTTCGATCGGGACCTTTCCCGATCACGTGATGAGTCACGGCGATCACAATCTCTAAACCACACCCCACCCGCCCCCCGGCATCTGAAACTCTTAAAGGGCCAGCGGGAAGGGGTTAAATGGGCTATGTACATTGCAGCACTTTTTGCATAAAGAAGTTTTTGAAGTTAAAAAGAGAAATATCCTAAGCAAAATGTTTTTTTAAGGGGCACTGAGTGAGATACTGGGGAAGCATGACCAATAAATGCCGCACTGGCTGGTAAAACTGCTTGTTCACAAAGGACTATTTAAATTTATGTTAAGATGTGTTAATATTCATGAAGGTAAAAAAAAAAAAAAAAATCACCTTTATTTCCTTACCCATGCAAAAGCTAAATCTAATTTTCTGCTAGGAAAAACATGGTGCTTCCAGACAACTTTTGAGGCAGAGTGAAGAACACTCACCTGCAATCCCCACTCCGGACATCTCACTGATGTTAGGACAGAAGACAGCATAGTCAAAATGGCAGGGCTGCAAAATAAGACACAGATTAATTGTAAATCTAAGTTCACACCTATGCGTTTTCCGTTGTGTTTTGCAGAAACACACAGCAGCCCATTTAACATGATTTCCTATGGGATAGGTTCACATCTCCACGTTTTCACCCAGTGTGTTTTTTGGAAAGGGTCAGGGACTTTTTTTTTTTTTTTTTTTTTTAAAACCAAAACATTACGTTTTTGGTTCTATAGACTTCAATGGAGACAGAAAAGCATGTAGTATGGTTTTGATGCTTTTTGATGTGTTTTGCATTTTAATCTACCCAGCAACAAGTTGGAAAAAAAAAAAAAAAAAAAAAAAAAACGCAAAACGCATCAAAAACTGCATGTGCAAAAACACAACACATCACAAAAAGCACTGCAGATCCGGATCAAAAAAGCAAACTGCATAGGTGTGAACCTAGCCTAAAGAACATCCATTTTGCTGAGCTGTTCTTACTCATGCCAATCTGGTTCTCTGACTGTATCTAAACCACTAGATTTTTAAAAAATCTCTTCCCTCTTACTGGTTGGGCACCATTTTAAAACCTAATAAATAATTCTCATAAAGGTTGCTGCTATACATATCATCTTCCCTATATTTCAGCCTTATGACAATGGACAAAAAAGTAGATATGACGCTACGGTTACTCATTTTTGGGAAATCATTTAGGAAGAAATTCAAGAACTCCTGCCTGGAATAGTATGCATTAAACTCACCTGAAGAAGTTTTAACAATGCGGCTGTGTCCCTCTCACCCGTGGCATTAAAAAGCATGACCCGGACCACAGACCCCCTGCAATGACAGTGCACCAACATTACAACACACAGCCCTGTCATCATTAAAGTCGACCCACTTCTTACAAAGTCCTTGACATTTTAAGTTATAGAAAGAATAGTCACTTCCACACAAATCTGGTAATTGTATGTATGCAAAAAAACAAATTAGTTTTGGACTGAGGGTGCAAGGGTTAGATCCTCTGATCAGGTTTATAGTGGTCTGTGTCCTCAGCACATATTTTTTATCCTATTTGCCCATATGACTTCTTACAGGTACAACAATTAATGGGAAATCAAATTTTTATAGTTGTCACTAGAAATGCTAACATTCTTAACCCTTTTTTGCCAGGTCTATACATTGTAAGAATGTAGAGGGTTTTTTTTGTTAATATGCATTGGGAAGTGTGTATATATCTGACAATCCAACTCCTGCCTGTCAGATGGAATCCTTCTGGTGGCTGCGCCACCACCCTATTGCTTCAACACAACTTCGGTAACATGAGCCCCCGCCATGAATCCTAGGATTGGCATAGTGGGTGCCATTGGGTAGAGGGGAGGAAGCAGAGCGGACACACATGTGCTCTGCTCCCCTTCTCGTTGCTGACCCCCACATATACGCACGTAGGAACATAAATGCGCACGTCAGGGAAGCCAATGCAATGTCGTTTGCAATACACGTTATATATCGCCATGCACATTATTACATTACATTACATTACATTGAGTTTATATAGCGCCAAAGGGTTTGCTCAGCGCTGTACAATAGAGGGGGGGACAGTACATGAAACATTACAGCAGCTACAAACAGCACACGAGGGGTAAGAGGGCCCTACTCTTTCGAGCTTACAATCTGGGAGGGAGGGGGTAGTGGTACAGGAGGAAGTGGCTGTGGGGGATGGAGTGGTAGGAGGAATGAAGGAGAGCAGCAGTTAGGTGAGGGTGGGGTAGGCTTCCCTGAAGAGGTGGGTTTTCAGGGAGCGCCTGAAGGTGAGAAGGGAAGGTGACAGTCTGATGGATTGGGGTAGTGAGTTCCAGAGGATGGGGGAGGACCTGGAGAAGTCTTGCAGACGTGCGTGTGAGGAGGAGACCAGGGAGCAAGATAGAAGGAGGTCCTGTGAAGAGCGAAGGGTACGGGTAGGGTGGTACTTGGGAATCAGGTCGGTGAGGTAGTTAGGGGCAGTGTTGTGAATGGCTTTGTAGGTCAGAGTGAGTAGTTTGAATTTGATGCGTTGGGCGATAGGGAGCCAGTGGAGGGAGAGGCAGAGGGGGGTGGCAGAGGTGGAGCGGCTGGTGAGGTGGATGAGTCTGGCAGCTGAGTTCAGGATGGTCTGAAGCGGGGAGAGTTTGCACTGGGGTAGGCCGGTGAGGAGGGAGTTGCAGTAGTCAAGGCGTGAGATAATCAGGGAGTGCACAAGTAGTTTAGCGGTGTCTGGGGTAAGGAAGATGCACGCCGAAGTGAGAGCAAAATGGCGGCCGCGATAATCGTAAGCGCCATTTTCAAACATAAATAGGAGCTACAGGACGTCTTACACTGCAAGCCCAGCACCCTATGATGATGCGCATAGCACGAAACGCGTCAGCGGGGCAGCAGTTACTGGACAGCTAGCCACCGCTGGTGGCCATCCTGAATTTTATATGGTCAGTTTTTTTCCTTATTACGTATTTATTTGCCTGTATACACCCATTTGATGAATAAATCCTCTACGGTATCACACTATGTGGTGTCCCTTATTGGGCTCTCTTCACTGATAGCCTCCATCCGCAGAACCTGCTTTTTAAAGGGACCCCTGATGGTGGTACGTTTGAAGGTCTTCTGAGCACCCTGCCCTAGACGTGATCAGAAGGTGTACAGGATCCTGGCCCTATTTGGAAGCAGATATACCTGAGCTATACCTGATGAGACAGGCTATCTCAAATGCGTGTATTTACGCACTTCTGGTGAGTGCGCAATTCATTCATTTATCACTCGTCATCTGCCACTCCGGATCAGTTCCCCACGCACTTACATTAGGATCTCATCGGATCCCCACGAGATATATATATATATATATATATATATATATATATATATTTTTTTTTTTTTTTTTTTTTTTTTTCTCTCCTCTATGGGACATTATTCTCATTGATTTGTTCACTTATATTCATAGCATATTTGTTATGCTATATTTTAGATTATATATTATGCTGCACTTATTACTTATATACAATATTATTAACATCAGACTTCCTCTAACTCTCAACTGATGACCTATAGGTGGCTTTAACGTGTTACCTATGGAAAATATAGGGTACTGACGTTTGCCGCCATTTAATGAGCGCTTGCAAATTTAGGTTTTGACATGTTGGGTAACCGTATTTGGTGCAACCTCTTTTATATTTTACAAAAAAAACAAATGGGTAATAAACTGTGATTGTGTGCCCTAAATTTAAAGTTAGTGTATTTTTTTACTAAAATTTTGAGTTTCCTAGACCTTTGCGGTAATATTTTTCTAGGATGCCTGCTTTCAGAAAATATACAAATGTTCTTGGGGTTTTATGAAATCCTCATGCCTAAAATTATTTGTTATAACGTGTGCAAAAACAGCTCCGACAGTGAAAGGGTTAAAAAGTCAGAACATAGGCAAGTGCCAACCACCACCCCATGTCAATACTCCAGCATTTGCATGGGATGTTTGGAGAAGGTTGGGGGTGTGCTGTAAAGAGCATAAGGGCATTTATTAAAATAAAAATATGATCATGCCAAAGCTGGATTTTTAAAGGTGCAGGCTGTGGGCCAGCTATATTGATCTTGGCTTCTCTTATGGGTCACTGACTTAAAACACGCATGTACAGTCAGGTCCATAAATATTGGGACATCGACACAATTCTAACATTTTTGGCTCTATACACCACCACAATGGATTTGAAATGAAACGAACAAGATGTGCTTTACCTGCAGACTGTCAGCTTTAATTTGAGGGTATTTACATCCAAATCAGATGAACGGTGTAGGAATTTCAACAGTTTGCATATGTGCCTCCCACTTGTTAAGGGACCAAAAGTAATGGGACAATTGGCTTCTCAGCTGTTCCATGGCCAGGTGTGTGTTATTCCCTCATCCCAATTACAATGAGCAGATAAAAGGTCCAGAGTTCATTTCAAGTGTGCTATTTGCATTTGGAATCTGTTGCTGTCAACTCTCAAGATGAGATCCAAAGAGCTGTCACTATCAGTGAAGCAAGCCATCATTAGGCTGAAAAAACAAAACAAACCCATCAGAGAGATAGCAAAAACATTAGGCGTGGCCAAAACAACTGTCTGGAACATTCTTAAAAAGAAGGAACGCACCGGTGAGCTCAGCAACACCAAAAGACCCGGAAGACCACGGAAAACAACTGTGGTGGATGACCAAAGAATTCTTTCCCTGGTGAAGAAAACACCCTTCACAACAGTTGGCCAGATCAAGAACACTCTCCGGGAGGTAGGTGTATGTGTGTCAAAGTCAACAATCAAGAGAAGACTTCACCAGAGTGAATACAGAGGGTTCACCACAAGATGTAAACCATTGGTGAGCCTCAAAAACAAAAAGGCCAGATTAGAATTTGCCAAACGACATCTAAAAAAGCCTTCACAGTTCTGGAACAACATCCTATGGACAGATGAGACCGAGATCAACTTGTACCAGAGTGATGGGAAGAGAAGAGTATGGAGAAGGAAAGGAACTGCTCATGATCCTAAGCATACCACCTCATCAGTGAAGCATGGTGGTGGTAGTGTCATGGCGTGGGCATGTATGGCTGCCAATGGAACTGGTTCTCTTGTATTTATTGATGATGTGACTGCTGACAAAAGCAGCAGGATGAATTCTGAAGTGTTTCGGGCAATATTATCTGCTCATATTCAGCCAAATACTTCACAACTCATTGAACGCCTCTTCACAGTGCAGATGGACAATGACCCAAAGCATACTGCAAAAGCAACCAAAGAGTTTTTTAAGGGAAAGAAGTGGAATGTTATGCAATGGCCAAGTCAATCACCTGACCTGAATCCGATTGAGCATGCATTTCACTTGCTGAAGACAAAACTGAAGGGAAAATGCCCCAAGAACAAGCAGGAACTGAAGACAGTTGCAGTAGAGGCCTGGCAGAGCATCACCAGGGATGAAACCCAGCGTCTGGTGATGTCTATGTGTTCCAGACTTCAGGCTGTAATTGACTGCAAAGGATTTGCAACCAAGTATTAAAAAGTGAAAGTTTGATTTATGATTATTATTCTGTCCCATTACTTTTGGTCCCTTAACAAGTGGGAGGCACATATGCAAACTGTTGTAATTCCTACACCGTTCACCTGACTTGGATGTAAATACCCTCAAATTAAAGCTGACAGTCTGCAGTTAAAGCACATCTTGTTCGTTTCATTTCAAATCGGGGGATGATCTGATGGAGGTGGGGATGATCTGATGGGGCTGCGGGGGATGATCTGATGGAGGTGGCTCAAGTACAGTTCTTAGGTGGAGGTGGGGTAGGCTCCCCTGAATAAGACTACGTTCACATCTGTGCGGGTGGTGCCGCTGTGGATCCTCACAAAATTCTGTGCAGCCGCACCACCCGCACAGAGAAATGCAGACCCGAAGGCGGGTGCCATTCGTTCTAATAGCACGCCACCTGCACTAGAAAACGCAACCGTACTTTGAAGCAAGGTTCCCGTTTGGGCTGCGTTTTCGGAAGAAGTGCAGGGACTTCCCTGCGTGTCACGGGGCACAGGAGTCCATTCAAATGAATGGGCTCTCATTCATTCATCCCCCCCTCCCCAAACGTGGCCTGCATGAACACATGTGTGTACCGGGGCTAAGTGAGTTTTCAATGATTGTCTAAAGGCTGACAGGGTGGGGGCTGACCGGACATACTGCAGTAGGGAGTTCCAGAGGATGGGAGAGGCTCTGGAGAAGAAGGCGAGCGTGGAAGGAGGTGACGAGGGAGCTAGAGAGCAAGATGTCCTGGGAGGAGTGGAGTGGGTGATTTGGGCATTATCTGCGAATGAGGTTGGCGATATAGCTAGGGGCAGTGTTGTGGATGGCTTTGTATGCTGTGGTTAGCATTTTGAATTTTATACGTTGGGTTGAGAGCTACAATTCTGAGACATACTTGGTCAATTTTCAAGATTACTACTTATGCAAGTAAGGCTTTATACTATTAGTTTTCACATTTACCTGTGAAACAGCCTGATAACATAAGAGAACAAGCCTGAGCTACTGCCATGATCAGGCAGGAATGTGCACCGATGATACTGGAATTCGGTGTGATTTGTATGTTTCTAATACACTTACGCTCCAGCTTTCTCCTCATTGAGCGCCACGTCTTGGAACCATCTGACGCAGGCCTTAACACTGCTGTTTGTGTGAGCACCATCAATGTAATAAGATATAGGACCGCGCTGCAGCACCTGCGTTCGCCCCAACCATAATGTGTCCTGTAAACCTACAAAACAACAAAAACACCATTTTCAACACGAGCAGCAATAACTGTGCGGGAAGATAGCTAAAAGTAAATACATTGGAAAAACACTATTCTGAATGCTGACACTGCCCCCTGGTGGCCACTGGGCATTATTACCAATTCTAATGTGTGAATACACAAGAGGGAAGATTCAAAACCTTTTATGGTTTAACTACTTCCCTTCCACCTATAGCAGACATAGTGCTACAGGGCGGCAGGGGTGCGCAAAATCACGCATATATACAAACATGATTTTGCAGTTCCATCCCACCATTTATGGCCTTGGCTGTCAATCACCAGGTCCCAGCCAGTGATTACGGGCCGGCACCCAGTGACCGAGTATCTATGACGGTGGAAGAGACCTGTATGTAAACAACACAGATCTCTCCCCTGTCCGCTCCTGCACACTGCTTTGTATGTCTCTGCATAGCAGAGCCACACAAAGCAGTGTGCTCACAGTGAAACACAGACACAACCCAGGTAGTAAAACAGAACAGTTAACCCTTTGATCGTCCAACATGTTAACTCCTTCCTGCCCAGTGCCATTAGTACAGTGTCAGTGCTTTTTATTAGCACTGATCACTGCATTGGTGTCACTGGGGATGTCAGTGACACCAAATCAATTCCCCCCAATGTCAGAATGCCCATCGCAGTCCTGCTATAAGTCGCAGATCACCGCCATTACTATTAAAAAAAAATATATATATATATATTTAAAATTCTAATATCTATACCACCAGTTGTAAAAGCTTTAACTTTCACGTAAACCAATTAATTTACACGTATTGGGGATTTTTTTTTTTTTAGCAAAGACATATCACAGAATACATTTTGGCCTAAATTTATGACAAAATTAGACTTTTTACATTATTTTTACTGGACGTGTTTAACAGCAAAAAGTCAAATATTGTTTTCTCCTCAAAATGGTCGGTCTTTCTTTGTTTATAGCACAAAAAATTAAAAACTGCACAGGTGATCAAATACCACTGAAAGAAAGCTCTATTTGTGGGGGGGAAAAAAAAGGACGTAAATTTCATTGGGTGCAGCGTTGCATGACCGCACAATTGTCAGTTAAAAGTAACGCAGTGCCGTATCGCGAAAAATGGCCTGGTCAGGAAGGGGGTAAATCCTCTGGAGGGCAAGTGGTTAAGCATGATTAGCAATGGATTTTTCAGGTAGTACACCCACAAGTCCATCTTTGAGTTTTAAACTGATAACTTCCTTCATCCCTGAATGATGATGAACCTGTTTATGACTTTAAGTGGAACTCGTGTTCCATTATTGCATACTGTGAGCAGCCAGGCTTTTTATTGCAGAAGAGACATGCAATGTCTGTTCTACAATAAAGTACATCTATCTACCTGCTTGTTCACAACGATCCTAATACTGTAAACTGAGCTGCCTATACGTAGCTCCACTTACAGAGGCTGGCTGATCCCTGTGTGCCAGAATGACCAGCTCCTACACATGTGCAGGAGTAACGTCATCCAGCGCCGGCCAATGAAGATGGCCGAAACCCGGCATACAGGAGAAGATGCTGCTAAGGGACTGTTGGAGTATTAAGCCTGTAGTTCCTCTTTAATGTCGCTTAAAGTCCTAAGTACATTTTTTTTTTGGCTAAGTCTCCACAAGTTTCTCTTCCTTCAGGCTTGGGCAAATGAAGAACAAATGCACAATGAGAGGCTTTCACCTGGTTAGTCTTTGGCTGTCCCGTTTAACAGAACGTGCACAAATTACGGAAATCAAATCTTCATTCCATAGATTAACTTTCAGCAGAAAAACATTTTTTTTTAAATTTTTTGAATAAAAAAAAAAAATTACTGGTATATACACCTTGTCCTCTCATTGCAAGGATACCAAAATATAAACAGCTGAGAATGAATAAATAAAAGTGACAAGGAGGTAGACTTGAGAAAAGCCATCAATGTTTATTTTTCATCCACTAAGGGTCTCAGGATGTCCAACTTTCAGGTTCTACTGCAGCCTACAGGAAGATTGGACACCAAGAAACAAAAAAAAAAAAAAAAGAAAAATATCATAGGCCAGCCCAGGATAACCCCTCCCATTACCAGCTTTTTGCTAGTGTCCTAGGAGGATGGACATCTTGGCTACAGCAGTGCAGTGTTAGTATACGTAGTAATTAAGAACTTTACTACCGCTTTAAAGCTAAATTTTTTTACTAGAATTTTTTCTTACCTTTTTTTTTCCCTTTAATCTGCTTTTAGTTTACTTTTCTGGTAAAAGCAGTTGCAGAGCACATTTCAGGCCTTGAGCCATGGAAATTGCCTTAGTGCTTGCCATGTTTCTACACAGCGATTGAGTATGCCGGTTGGGCAGAGTACTGAGAGCTACCTCCATTATTTGGGTCACTGGGCACCTATAATCCCTATTCCCTCCAGTATTGCCATGGAACGAATTAGTATTGTGGGTCTGAGCACTGACATCATCCACTTGCAGCCAGGGCTGGATCTAGTCTATTAGATCTGGGGGTACATATATCAACACAACAGTAATGGTGTTATCATCCCATCTTTAAGTCAGTTCTACTCTTTTAGGCCCCTACAGGGTGGTAGGGCCTTTTCTATTGTGAGGTATTTACCACCTTCATGCAAGACTTTATGGCTCAAATTACCAGTTATTTGCCAACTCTGATAGCAGAGGCGACAAATTGATCTCATGCCTTTTCTAGCAGATTCTACATCTGATTTGCCATTGGCTTTAGCAGCTTCAAAGTCATTGGTTGCAGGAACTGTCTAATTCTGAATTACTATAGACTTTGCCTGATGGGCTTGTCATTGTCATTGACAAGTCAGATTCTGTCATAAACCCCCCCCCCCCCATTCCCTACCAATTAAGAGAGACTGTTTCAGCTTTTGATGCAGTGGGCACTACTCTAAAATAAGAAGATTGCTTCTACCAAAAACGGTTTCCAGTCAAGAGTCATTTAAAACTCCTCAAACCATAAAAACAACTGTTTGCACCCACTTTTCCAACTATTTCTCCAAGGACATCAGAAAAATCCTGGCAATGCATCTGCTCCACCTAAATTGACTTTGTATCTGCTTAGTGATGATTTTGTGCAGAAGGGGCAACTTCCACTGTGGTTCCGACAGTATACTGCCTTAACAGGGCACTTACCATTTCAGGAGAAGATGCACCTGTATATAGAACCCAAGCTCTTTTCTGATATGTACACCCTGCTCTTCATCAGATTTTAGCTGTGACCCGGTATGAATGTAAGGGATTTTTAATTACCTCTGTTATTCTTATTCTGTTATAATTGCCCCATTACCTGTGGCAGAACGTTTCTCAGTGTTTTATTCCAACCTGTCCACAGTTTCCAAGCCCACAAAGTGGCATTCTCCCTACTCAGGATCTCAAAGCTCCAAATATCTTTATTCAAATCCAAAAATTCTGTATGGAGGCTACCAAACAGGTCATCTACTCCCTTCGCCAGGAGTTTGTGGACTGAGTTAGTGGATTTCAAAAATGCTTTCTTACATGTCCTCATTTTTCAGTCACAATTGCTCTGCTTTTCCATGGGGCCCTCCCATTACCAGTTTGTGTCCCTGCCCTTCAGCATTATTGCGGGATACTTAGACACCCACCTATTGGGGGAACCGTTGGTGTGGAATCTTTCGGACAACGTGACATTAACAAAATCTTACAGCTATGCTGATGGATCCTGAATATTCATAAACGATCTTTGGAACCATCTTATTGCTTCAAGTATCTTGGTCTAGTCATGGACACAACTTGGGCCAGTATTCATTTCACAGAAGTGACTTCAGATGCTCTAATATATTTTTTTTTCTTTCTTTCGAGACCGCATCATTTGCAGTTTCACTCCAGACCTCTACCAAACATCACCAAAGTTCCAGGTTGTCCTTGGCCCAGTGGCTTAGGAATCTGGCTCTAAAATCCAGGAAATCTTTCCTTCCTATCCTTTGGAGAAACCTCACAATGGAAGCAAGCTTGTCGGACTGGGGAGGATTCCTGTGCACCTTATCAGTGCAGGTGGTCATTTAAATTCTGTCTCTCAATCTGGAAATCTATTTCTCCATGTGGAAGAATTTGAATTAGATGACCTTCCAGTACGATGTTGGATTGTGGCAGTCAACATTATGGCAGTGCCATACATCAATCATCAAGGAGGAACCACAAGTTTCGCCATAGCAAAAGGTAGACTTTCCTGGTCCTGTCCTAGGCAAAACTTCACCTTACAGCCTTGCCAGCCAAGTACATTCCAGGCACAGATAAATGGCAGGCAGACTCCCTCAGCCAATAGCACCTGGACCTAGTGCAGTGATCCCTAACCCTGGAAGTGTTCCAGGATCTCTGTTGCAGATAGGGAAGGTGCCAGATGGGATCATGATGAAGGGCATTACTCAAGTCGCGCTGCATCAGACTGGCTCAGGACGTTGTATGCCGACCTGGTCAGTCTCCTAGCACTTTGTGGGCTTTACCGATTGCCAGAATCTTTTGTCCCAAGGACAAATTTGCCATCCTACTTCAAGATCGCTTGCTTTAATGGGTGTTGAAGTCCTGGTTCTGAGGGACAAGGGATTAGAGTCTGATTCCCACAATACTTGCAGCTAGAAAAACTGCTTCTCGCAAGGCCTACCATTGGCCACAGACATACAGTATCTCACAGAAGTGAGTACATCACTCACACTTTTGTAACTATTTTATTATATCTTTTCATGTGACAATAATGAAGAAATGACATTTTGCTACAATGTAAAGTAGTGAGTGTACAGCTTGGATAACAGTGTAAATTTGCTGTCCCCTCCAAATATAACAACACACAGCCATTAATGTGTAAACTGCTGGCAACAAAAGTGAGTACAGTACACCTCTAAGTGACAATGTCCAAATTGGACCCAATTAGCCATTTTCCCTCCACGGTGTCATGTGACGTGTTAGTGGTACAAGATTTCAGGTGTCAATGAGGAGCAGGTGTGTTAAATTTGGTGTTAATCGATTTCACTCTCTCATACTGGTCACTTGAAGTTCAACATGGCACCTCATGGCAAACAACTCTCCGAGGATCTGAAAAAAAGAATTGTTGCTCTACATAAAGATGGCCTAGGCTATAAGACCCTCAAACTGAGCTGCAGCACGGTGGCCAAGACCACACAGTGGTTTAACAGGACAGGTTCCACTCAGAACAGGCCTCGCCATGGTTGACCAAAGAAGTTGAGTGCACATGCTCAGCGTTCTATCCAGAGGTTGTCTTTGGGAAATAGACGTATGAGTGCTGCCAGCATTGCTGCAGAGGTTGAAGTGGTGGGGGGTCAGCCTGTTTGTGCTCAGACCATATGCCGCACACTACATCCAATTGGTCTGCATTGCTGTCGTCCCAGAATGAAGCCTCTTCTAAAGATGATGCACAAGAAAGTCCGCAAACAGTTTGCTGAAGACAAGCAGACTAAAGACATTGATTACTGGAACCATGTCCTGTGGTCTGATGAGACCAAGATAAACTTATTTGGTTCAGATGGAGTCAAGCGTGTGTAGCAGCAAACCAGGTGAGGAGTACAAAGACAAGTGCGTCTTGTCTACAATCAAGCATGGTGTGGGAGTGTCATGGTCTGGGGCTGCATGAGTGCTGCTGGCGCTGGGGAGCTACAGTTCATTGAGGGAACCATGAATGCCAATATGTATTGTGACATACTGAAGCAGAGCATGATCCCCTCCCTTCAGAGACTGGGCCGCAGGGCAGTATTCCAACATAACGACCCCAAACACATCTCCAAGACCACCACTGCCTTGTTAAAGAAGCGGAGGGTAAAGGTGATGGACTGGCCAAGCATGTCTCCAGACCTAAACCCTATTGAACATCTATGAGGCATCCTCAAAACGAAAAGGTGGAGAAGCGCCAGGTCTCGAATAACCACCAGCTCCGTGATGTCGTCATGGAGGAGTGAACTCCATGCCCAGGAGGGTTAAGGCCCTGGAAGGTGCTGGAAAATAATGGTGGCCACACAAAATATTGACACTTCGGGCCCAATTTTGACATTGTCACTTAGGGGTGTACTCACTTTTGTTGCCAGCGGTTTAGACATTAATGGCTGTGTGTTGAGTTATTTGGAGGGGACAGCAAAGTTACACTGTTATACAAGCTGTACACTCACTACGTCACATTGTAGCAAAGTGTCATTTCTTCAGTGTTGTCACATGAAAAGATAGAATAAAATGGTTACAAAAATGTGAGGGGTGGACTCACTTCTGAGATACTGTAAATACATAGCAGAGTCATGGTTGCTCATTATGTTATCTTACATGTCTTACCTTTAACCATTGGAAGACTAGGACGGAAAGCGGATGCCAAGGAAAGTGGCCACTTTACTAAAGGAAGCATCTGATTGGGAAGTTTTGGGTCTCCAAACCCTAAAAGAAACATTATACAAAATGGTTTTATATCAGTCAGGGCTTAACCCCTTCGCTACCTGACCACTTTTTTTTTTCTATACAAGTTAAAATATGCATTTTTGGCCCGAATAATATTAATACCTAAATCATTTTATATTTACGGAAAGCAGGGAACCTGTAAAATAAAAAGGTAGTTGCACATTTTTTTATGTCACGATAGTTGAAAGGTTTCTCAAAGCTATACTTTTAGTACAGTAAAATTTATTTTAGTGCACACACACCCAAAATAATCCATTTTCTTGTAAACTTTAAAAAATAAGTTTGAGTTGGGTAAATAAATGCCAATTGTGTCAGATCTGTGAGCACATGCAAAGCAGCAACACAGAGTGATACTCTTACATAGCCAACACTTTAAACATTTCTATAGCTCATCAGGGTTAATGGTAAATTATGGCCCTAGAGTTATTCCTCACAGTCAGACATGGTGATACTTAATATGTTGCTCAAATCGGCATTTACCAGGATAGATGTGCTCTAGGTGCATTTTTCACTTGCCAGTATTGCTATCAAAAGGGGGCTTATCAGTATTAGTACAGGTGGCAGGTCCTCTTTTCAGAGACATCAGGGGTCTATTAGACCTAAAATGTCTCTCCTGCACTTTTAAAGGCCAACTCCCATATTTATAGTGCAACATGTAGCCAAACAAACCCCCCTTCCTGACAGTGTGTGGGGATTCCATTTCCCTGCTGCAGCTGTCAGATTTAGAATCAGGAAATCTGGACACAGGGATACCTGTGCTGGGATGAGTTATACCAACATGGAGAATTCCTTCCTTTTTTGAGCCAGTGTCCATTTACCTGATAGTGGTAGGATAATCAAAGTAGAAATGAAGTGCCCTGTCATGTAGATTAGGAAACACCGCTTTTTAAATAACTTAGGGAGAAATTTTACTCATAATGACAATTATTAAATAATTTTTTTTAAGAACCTATAATCAATACATTCTTTGCCCCTCTGGATCAATGTGAAGTACTCATTGTTTGCTGCACATTTTAATGCATTTACCTTTGCATCCCCTTTGCTGGAGCCACATCTGTGCCAACTGTAGAGCCAGGGATGCATTTGATTTCTGATGATCTCCAGCCAGACCCAGATGAAGAGACTTCCCCTCCTCCTCATATTCAGCCATGTCTGGACACATGTATAAAGGACACTGGAAGAAAAACAGCATTAGGAGGCAACTGTGCAAATCCGGCCAAATCAGAATTTACAGAACAAGAACTTACTCCAATCTCCTGTGCTCTACTAATCAGCACCTGAAGAGGACTGGCAGGCTGAGGGACAGTAAACGCTGGAACACCAGGCTGAAAGACACAACGAACCAGGTTACAAAAGAGTTCCTGTCTTAAAAAAAAAAAAAAAAAATTCTCTATAAAATTTGGAAGACATAAAAACTAGAGGAGAAACTCTCTCCCCTTTAGGCCCCTTTCACACAGACGGTCCGATTGGGTCCACATGTCAGTTTTTCAGGCAGACCTGATCAGACCATTCATAGTCCGTTTCCATCCGATGCCCCATAGAAAACAGCGGGCTGTGTCTGCCCGCTCTAAAGCACCAGAGCGGACACAGACCTGTCATCCACATGCTCAGCAGGGATCAGCGGAGAGATCCTCCACCGAACAAGCGGATCCGCCCCGTCTGAAAGGGGCCTTAACCAGCATGTCTCTAAAGATAAGTACTGAGAAGTTACTCGCAAACAAAAAACACAAGCTTTTTTTTTTTTTTTTTTTTTAAAAGACTATTTTAAGTGACACTAAATGGTATCCTTAAGCTGGCCATAGATGGATCAAAATTCAACCGATTCAGCAGGGATCAACCAAATTTCAATCCATCTGTGGCGGTTCCCTTTCTTGTGAAGTCGATTTAATGTTCGACGTCTCACAAACAAGCTTGTTGGAAAAGTTAGCCAATTGGCTGCAGTGCTGATCAGTGTATTCTGACAATGGAGTACTGCTGTCAGAACACAACATCATCATCATCATCAACAACACAAGAACATCAAGGATTCTCCCATCCACTTCGCTTTTAGGGGTAGGAAAATCCATTCTTTTTTTTCTGATCTGTGGGCTAATTTAAAAAAAAAAAAAAAAAAAAAGTAAAAAATGTTAGGCCAGCTCTAATCCCTCAAAATATTTCACACACATCCACTACTTAATGGCCCTGTAATCTATTTTTCATGAAATCACTTCTTATTGCGTTTCTCTGCCTCCTTGTAATACCCTTCCATGAGCACCCAAATGTATCCTCTTCCCCCTCGCTTGTTTGTATGAGGTCTGTCTGATGCTGCTCTTTTGATACTCAATCACAGGCTGTGAAGCAGCTTATCTGTATTGCAGTACTGCAGTAGAGAAGAATCAGGCCACCAACCTAGATGTGCTGTATGGCAGAAATACAAATATTTTCACAAGCCAGTTTTCCATATATGTATTTCATCCATTTCCCTTCAGCTGCAAGTGGACATATTAACTTCACACTTTGAATAAGCATCCATTCATTGTCTTTTTCTGATAACGCTAGATGCCTGGCTGTGATTGACTTAAGCACTTTTGAGAAATAAACCTGAGCAAGCATGCAGTAAAGGTGCAGAATTCATTATTTTGATCAAATTTTGAAATACCCTGCTTCACAGGCATCAAGGCAAACTGCATCCTTTTCAGCTTTGTGTATAACCAAAACGGTAATATAAGTGAAGGTACAGGATGAACCAAACAAAGCACACTGGGAAGAGCATATAAAGCAACTGTTAAGTGATAAAATTGGAATAAAAAAGGTACTTACAAAGTGATGATCTATCAGGGCACATAACTAGATAAGACAACTATCAGACTGGGACACAATTACAAGAGCAGAAATATCGCTTGACAAATCCAGCAGAAGGAGAGATGGGATGCAGTGGTAAATTACATGTTACAGGGCCCTGCCCCTTCATCAGGACGTTGAAGCATTATCAGTGGAGGTACTTTGCACACAGACTGTCAGCTTGGTCCCCACTCAGTGACTATCAATCTGAATAAGTTGTGGCATTTCACTCTCTGTCTCCTTGGCATCTATTTCAGCACATTTACCATTGCATCATCCCCCTCCCTCTACTGGATTATGTGTAGAGATTCCTTGCGCTTGTAACTTTGACCCGAAATCTGATAAGAGTTGTATTGCCTGGTTATATGCCCTGATCTAGCTGTCACTTTGCAAGTGCATTTTTATGCCAATGTTATTTACTAAAAATTATTTATCTGCACTATTCGGTGCACTTTGTTTTCTTTATCATTATTGCTATACTTGTACCAACTCAGCAGCAGAATTAAAGACAAAGCATCAGCATACATTCTCAAAAAGGAGAGATCAGCCTTGCAGCCAGGAAAAAGGAAAAAGAAAGAAAAGCCCTTTCTTTTTTGCTCCTGAACCACATCACTCTACTCTCTCCTCCTGTGAGCAAATGCATCAGAAAGAACTACACCCAACTGGCTGCTGTACAGGAGAGTACAGTAGACCTCTACATGTGGAGAAAAACAACCAAATATATATCAATTCCCAAACCTTAAATATGCCCCCTTTTTGCCAGGCAATTTTCTCAATAGTGTCTCCCAGGATGGCTGTGTGGTCAATACCAAGAGAGGAAATTCCACAAACAATGGGTTTCCTAGAGGAAAGAAAAATGAGGAAAATTTAAATATTGAAATTTATAGTTGTTTGGGTAAAGTAAAATTCTGGCTTATATCACGTCGTAGTTATCAAAACAGACAGAATCCATGACATGCCAGCTCAAGCTACCCATTCACTGCTGGCTGAGGAAAGCCAAAGGAGATAACTAATTCATGCTAAATGAAGACATGAAACCTTAAGCTGGCCATAGATGGATGAATGAATCTCGGCTGGTTTAGCAGGGACCAACCAAGATTCGATCCATCCATCTATGGGCAGGCTGGCAGTACCCAAGTGGAATGGATCGACTAGGTACAACCAGCCTGTCGGATTTTTTTCATGCAATTAATGCCAGTGGCCATAGCTGCTAGCACTCATGTTTTACCGGCCCAGGAAGGCTCCCTGCCTGTAGAGCACAATAGCACTGCGGGACGGATTCTGAATTTCTATTGACTGAATGTGTTGGAGAAATCGAGCCATGGTGGAAGGAAAAAAAAAAAAACTGCATGATCTATGGCCTGCTTTATGCTTGCAAAAATTACACTTTGATCTTTTAACCATCAAGGAGCTAAAAAGAGAACTAGAAGTCATTAGCCAAAGTGAAAGCCCCTTAAGTTTAAGGTCCAAACAGTTGTGCAGCAGTAGAAGTAGTGACATCAGAGTGATTAGGAGGAAGGTTTTCAGTTCACATATGCTTTGTCACCCAACCCGCACTGAAAATACAAACAGCAGGTAAAATAAGTATTGAGCCCCTCCAATCACCTGACTTGAATCCAATAGAAAATCTATGGAAAGAAATAAAGATCAGAGTTCATAGCAGAGGCCCATGGAACCTTCAAGATTTGAAAACTGTGTGGAAGAATGAGCCAAAATCAAACCTGAGCAATGCATGCGACTAGTTTCTCCATACTGGAGGCGTCCCGAAGCTGTCCAACAAACCAACAAAGAATTTAGTATGAAGTATTAAATAAATTTCAATTAACGTGTTCAATACTTTTTCGCTGTGTCATTCCATTTTATTAAGTGTTCTTGCATGGCAAGACCACTTACTGTTATCTCACATATATATTCTTATTATTATAGCCAAATTTACCACCCTAACTCCTCCCACAGTTTTTACACTACATAGACAGTAATATACCGAAAACGTGCGGATTGTTCCCGGTTGGTGTGCTATTACTTTGTGGAACGTTTTGCCGAATGGTTCACGAAATATCGCCTTTTTTTGGTGAAATTGGTCCCATAGGAATGAATGGCGGAATGTTCAAAACTAGGGTGGGAGCTGACAAAAGCTAGAGTGTGAGCTGAAAAATCAGGACATGATTTCTAAACTGCCATCACTCCCTCATTTTCAAGCCCACCTACACAAATCTCATATGAAAACGTTCAGCTATCCCTGCTGCCACTAAAAATGTCCATGGCTAAGCCATAGTCCTGATAGTTTTCACAATATGACCATTTGTTTGCAACTCACGCCGCCCATTGACATTCATTGAAACTCTACTCTAGCCACCTCAAATTTGAAGGACAATTTCTAAACTGCGACTGCCTTCATTTTTAATATTTCAGAGATATACTATGCATCAAAATGCAGGTCTGGGTCTTGTGATTCTCACAATATAAAGCTCTTCGCTGTAGAATTTATAGTTTTTAAAACTACGACCATTTGAAGACACCAGTGAAGTGAGCAATTTGGAGCAGTTTGTTTTTAACCGCTCTTCTCTGCCCTATTTGAAATCTAATTTTGAATTCGTGACAGTTTGGCCGGCTTCTGGTTAAAGGTTTGGAAATAAGTTTTCTACAGTAGAGAGTATTTGAGGTGATAATGCTGCTAATGTTTTTATAAATGTATGTTTTAATGGAACTGTGAAGCACTTGCAATTAAATGTGCTATATACAGTCAGGTCCATAAATATTGGGACATCTACACAATTCTAACATTTTTGGCTCTATACACCACCACAATGGATTTGAAATGAAATGAACAAGATGTGCTTTAACTGCAGACTGTCAGCTTTAATTTGAGGGTATTTACATCCAAATCAGGTGAACGGTGTAGGAATTACAACAGTTTGCATATGTGCCTCCCACTTGTTAAGGGACCAAAAGTAATGGGACAATTGGCTTCTCAGCTGTTCCATGGCCAGGTGTGTGTTATTCCCTCATTATCCCAATTACAATGAGCAGATAAAAGGTCCAGAGTTCATTTCAAGTGTGCTATTTGCATTTGGAATCTGTTGCTGTCAACTCTCAAGATGAGATCCAAAGAGCTGTCACTATCAGTGAAGCAAGCCATCATTAGGCTGAAAAAACAAAACAAACCCATCAGAGAGATAGCAAAAACATTAGGCGTGGCCAAAACAACTGTCTGGAACATTCTTAAAAAGAAGGAACACACCGGTGAGCTCAGCAACACCAAAAGACCCGGAAGACCACGAAAAACAACTGTGGTGGATGACCAAAGAATTCTTTCCCTGGTGAAGAAAACACCCTTCACAACAGTTGGCCAGATCAAGAACACTCTCCGGGAGGTAGGTGTATGTGTGTCAAAGTCAACAATCAAGAGAAGACTTCACCAGAGTGAATACAGAGGGTTCACCACAAGATGTAAACCATTGGTGAGCCTCAAAAAAAAAAAAAAAAAAAAAAAAGGAAGGCCAGATTAGAGTTTGCCAAACGACATCTAAAAAAGCCTTCACAATTCTGGAACAACATCCTATGGACAGATGAGACCAAGATCAACTTGTCCCTTAGCAAGTGGGAGGCACATATGCAAACTATTGTAATTCCTACACCGTTCACCTGATTTGGATGTAAATACCCTCAAATTAAAGCTGACAGTCTGCAGTTAAAGCACATCTTATTCTTTTCATTTCAAATCCAATGTGGTGGTGTATAGAGCCAAAAATGTTAGAATTGTGTTGATGTCCCAATATTTATGGACCTGACTGTAAATAATTAAAAGTTGAAATGCAGTTCTCACTTTATCAAGCTTGCCATGTGCACTTTTTAAACTTTGATCAATCAATTGGTTTAGTGTAATGTTTACTATCTTTACTCAGTCCAAACAGTTACTCTGCCCAGTCCAACTTTTTCACAGTTACTCCAGCCACTCTGACCACACAACAGTTACTCAAGCCACTCCACCCAGTTACTCCGCCCACTCCAGTTGTAGACTACTGGTGGATGCAAGAACACTTCACACAATTTCCCCAGAAATTGTAGCTTTTCTAGTTATACTTAACTTCATTTCTGAACTTAATTGTTTCCTTTGTATGTATGGACTGCATGGGTTGTTACCATCATGTGGTAAAATTTCCCTGTCAATAGCACCTTTAGAAATATATTTATTAAGAAAAATGGGGATGTGTTCAATACTTATTTTACCCATTGTATGATGTCTGAGAGGGATAAAGAGTAATACAAGGTTTAAATCTCTAAAAGAAAATACTGCCCCAGTCTCCCTTCAATGCTGCACATTCGGTCATGGGATTTCTGTTGGAAGTTCTGAAATCCTTCAGAAGAGATCATCAACCTATTGCCTGTTCTTCTCGTCATATGACAAGCATTGGCAAAACTTTAAGTGTCGGCAAGGATAATTATTTTTCAGCTTTTTAGGCCTCATTCTCATTTTCCTTGCTTGCCCCATGCAGGTTCGGGTTTTGTTGGCAAGGGGATGCGCAGGTATTCCATACATCACTGTGTCAGCAGTCCCAGATGTCTATTGGGACAAACAGCTACAAGGACACAGTCACAGTGTCCCTGTGAGATGTCCATGAGCATGCATAACCCTGACCACACCCAAAGAGAGTTGAAACACAGATGTCATATTGAGACACCGCAGCTGTGTCTGCGCAGTCGCATGTCCCAAAAGACATCTATGGGGATGCATGCCCTGCACAGGGCTTGCAAGTGAATGGGGGGGCCTTACTCTCCATTATTTCCTCCAAGATTGCCAATAGAGATTTATATAAAACATTTGAGTATAAGTCAGGGTTTTTCAGCACAGATAATCCATTTATGTCATTGAAGTGGTTTCAAAATGTTACAGGACTATTGTTTATCAATAATCCATTTTCAGTGAATGCTGTACCCATAGTTAAATTAGGACTAAAGGCAAAATTAAAAAATGACATCTGATGCAGTCTGCCACCAACAAAGCGGTCTGTTTTTGAGTCCCCCTGTGACTGCTATTATTTTTCAACTTCAATTAAAGTGCAGCAAAAGTTAGAGGGTTGAGACAACCCATTTAGGATAAACAAGAGTGCTTACAATGGTCAGCTTTTATTCATTTAGCCAAAACCTTCTTTAAATAGAATACAAAACCTGTTGCTGTAACGGCTTAAAAAGGCATTTGCTGAAGTATGGCTTTAACCACTTCCAGTCCGGACACTTTTACCCCCTTCCTGACCAGGGCAATTTTCAGCGCCATCACACTTTGAATGACTACTGCGCGGTCATGCAACACTGTACCCATATGAATTTACCATTTTTTTTGAGACAGATAAAACTTTATTTTGGTGGTATTTATTCACCGCTGGGATTTTTATTTTTTTTGCTATGTAAATGAAAATGTCCAAAAACATTTTAAAAAAGTGTTTTTCTTATAAAATTTTGCAAATAAATAATAGTTCATCATAAATCTTGGCCAAAATTTATTCCGTTATCTTTTTAGTAAATAAAAAAAAAAAAGCCAAAATTAGTTTATAACCAAAAATTATAATTTTTAAACATTTTTTTTTACATTTTTTTTTCATATTATTATTTATTTTATTTTTTTTTTACATACTGTCACCTTAGCAGTACAGTGTCACCATGGTGACACTGTACTACTTTTGGGTGGTGATGATTTTTTTTTTTTTTTTTTTTTACACTGATTGCTTTTACACCCAAATAGGATGCAAAAGCAATCATTTCTCTCTGTCTGCATTCTTGCAGCCATTGAGAACTACTGAGTGAGCTGTGATTGGTCATAGCTTGTCACATGGTACAAGGCTGTTGTGAATAGCCTTGTATCATGTGACCTCTGATCACTCACAGATTTCAAACGTAGTAAGCAATGATGTCAGAAGTGACATCTTGCTTACTACTTTGCATGTGATCACTGATTGGCCAATCAGTGATCACATGATCAAGACCTCGTACAGAGGTCCTGTCCGACGATCGGTGTTTCACTGTGTCTGGAGGACATAGCGGGCACCGTATCGAGGTGCTGCGCACTCCCGGGGAGCGTGTACAAGCGGGCCATTTGACCCTGCAGTGCCACTGTCCAGCCGTTTATATACAACAGCCAGTCGGGAAGTGGTTAAATCTGTTTATCACGTAGGTAAAGTGCATCTAAATCTACTTGTCCATCTTACTACTACCCTCTGCAGACAGTACTGCTGTCCACGGGTAACTATGTTGCTCCTCCACAGATAGAAGAGTTACCCTAAGACAGGAAGTGTTTCACTGGCCAGATGACCAGGTGAAAAAAAAAAAAAAAAAAAAAAAAAAAAAAAACAGAAAATGAATGCAGCCACCACATCCAAGCATTAGCCAACTGCATCAGATTCCTTTTTGTTTATGGGTTTAGATGCACTTTAAGGCTCCATGCACACTAGCATTTTCTTAAGCTCCTAGAAGCATATCTTTTTCTGCTCCTAGAAGCTAAAATAGTGTTCTCCTATGTGTCCATGCACACTACTTTAAGCTATTAGCATTTTTTGAGCTTCTGCATCTAGGAGCTGAAAAAAAAAAGAGTTTTTTAGAAGCATTTTTCCAGCATTTTTCCCTGTACAATGCAGTTTTTTAAGCTCCTAGAAGCTGTTATTAGCATTTTTTCCTGCTGCTAGAAGCTAAACCGTGTTATCCTATGTGTCCATGCACACTACTTAAGGCTATTAACTTTTTTTCTGCTCCTAGACACTGAACCTAAAAAGCACAAATATGCATGCATCATACATACTAGGGAGAGTACAACTGGGGAATCAATGGTGGGGAAGGATCTGGGGGTTCTGGTAGATCACAAGCTTAAATGGCATGTAATGCCAAGCTGCGGTTTCTAAAGCGAGCAAAATCCTCTCTTGTATAAAAGAGAGGTATAGACTCCCAGAGAGAGAGATATTACCCCTGTACTAATCATAAGTAAGACCTCATCTGGAATATGCAGTTCAGTTTTGGGCACCAATTCACAAAAAGAAACATTGGGGAACTGGAGAAAGTACAGAGAAGGGAAACCAAACTGATACGAGGCATGGAGGAGCTCAGCTATGAGGAAAGATTAGAGGAACTGAATTTATTCTCTCTTGAGAAGGAGATTAAGGGGGGATATGATCAACATGTATAAATACATCAGTGGTTCATATAGTGAACTCGGCGTAGAGCTATTCACCCTGAGGTCATCACAGAGGACAAGGGGGCACTCTTTACATCTGGAGGAAAAGAAATTTAATTTCCAAACACGGAAAGGTTTCTTCACAGTGAGAGCTGTGAAAATGTGGAATGGACTCCCTCAAGAGTTGGTTCTGGCCAGCTCAGTTGATTGCTTTAAAAAAGTCCTGGATTGTTTCCTAAATACACAGAATACAACTGGATACTAACATTTATAGGTAAAGATGATCCAGGGAATATCCGATTGCCTCTCAGGGGATCAGGAAGGAATGTTTTTCCCCTGCAGGAGCAAATTGGATCATGCTTTGCTGGGGTTTTTTTGCCCTTTTTTTTTTTGTTAATGATTGAACTGGATGGACTTTTGTCTTTTTTCAGCCAGACTATGTAATTAAAAGCATGCATGAAGTGGCCAAATGTGTGGATGTCTACTGTCATAACCCATCACCTCTCCTATTGAGAAGAAATAGAGGTGATCCTGCATACTTTGTAATATCTGTGGACTTAATGCATGAAGTGTCAGTAAATGTTACTTACCGGATAATATTTGTGCAGTCATATGCTCCACCAATTCCCACCTCCAGCACAGCCAGATCTACCTGTGATATAGAAGGGGGGAAAAAAAAAGCAGCTCAGGAGAAGGTTGCAGGCTCACAATGATTTGCATCTCTGTAAGTTTAATTTACAAACCTTCTCCTGAAGGAACACATGGAATGCCATAATGGTCAGGAAGCGGAAGTAAGCGGGCATGGAGCAGTAGTCATCAGTCTGGAGGGGAAGAAGATTCTGATATGGTTACTGTTCTGTACAGGAAGGTCATACTGAATCATGGTCTTAGAGGTAAAGTAGAATGGCTTGTGGTTCATATTATTTACAGGTATTGTTGTTTATAAACTGATGGTTTAGTTTGTGCTCTTTAATAAATTCTTATGCTATCTTTAGTTCACAAAACATTTAAACTTCAGGCAGACATCATAAACCATAGAGGCTCACTTTGAAGATTTTTTTTTTTTTTTTTTTTTTTTTAGCTTTTCCTTCAATAACTTTCCTTTAAAAAAGTATATAAATAAGCATTTTAAATGAACCCAGTCTCTGTGACGAAACAAATCTGCAGATCAGGAAAATCAAAGTACTAAAGCCAGCAGTTCAGCATAATAGCCAGTAAATTAGCATTTTCTAAAGATCGTAAACAATTCTAGGGTTGAAGGAAATCTGTAACCTGCAGAATGGGGAGCCTGCCTTTGCTGAAGTCCCCCAATGCAAATGCCAATTGCCTGATATTCACACGGATACAATATTTTCTGAGTTGCTGGATAAAGAACAAGTATGCAGAGTTCTGGCTTTACTCTGACTTTCTAATCTACATGCTTGTCCCAGGTCAGTAACTCAGAAAATACTGAACCCACAGAAAGCCAGGCAGCCATTATTCTTAGAAGAAGCTGAACCATGCCTGCCCTGTATTTTTCTAGCACACCTTCTTGCTGACTTATACATTGCAGTCAGAATCTAGAGAGCACCTGGCAGGGCCGCTGGAAGTGGATTTTCTGGGGTCTGCTTTATTTCACTTCCAGTTCTCCACTGCTGCAAAACACCTGGCAGGGTTTTTGGGAGTATTTATTTAAACTGGATCTGTGATCTTTTGCTCTCTCTATCTTTTTATCTTTAATCACATCTAAACTTTTAAAGCCAGTTTCAGGCCTCATGTACACTGGACATTATAAAACCGCCAGTAGCGTTACCTGTAGAATGCTATGTTAAAAACATGAGTTTTGTCACGTTTTTTACATTAGCGTTGTTAGTGTTTTTCAGCATTTGCATTCTTTTTTTGCAATACTATACTCCCACAAAACCTTGAGGCTCAAAAATGCTCAAACGACATATAGCAGCGTTTTTCGGTGTTAGAGCGTTTTTGCAAAACTCCTCTGACACCTTCCTGCCAGGCTTATAGCAGAGGTGAGACGCTTCTCCTGATAGGACGTCATATGACATCCTGTCAGAAGGTGCCGCACGATCTGTCACCAGATCACTACACAGGCCCGTTGCCAGTGTCACATGACCAATCACAGCTGATCACATGAGAATTGTACACAATAGATGGCTTCCTTTCATGCCATCCATTGTATACAAGTGTGTTGTTAGCTGGGATTTGTCAAAACAGTCACATGGTACAGACAGGGCCAACCACAGCCCATCTGTATCATGTGATGAGCTTTGCCCAATCACAGCTATATCACAACAAAAGACTAAATGAATCAGCTTCATTCAGTAACAATGGTTGCAAATATCAATGAAATACAGCAATGTGTTAAAAAAAAAAAAAAAAAACGATAACACTGTATTGCTCTGGTCACAGTGTGTTAACCACTTGACCTCCAGAGGATTTACCCCCCTTAATGACCAGGCCTCTTTTTGCTACTCGGCGCTGCACTAATTCAACTGATAATTGCGCGGTCATGCAATGCTGCACCCACACGAAATTTACGTCCTTTTTTTCACACAAATAGAGCTTTCTTTCGGTGGCATTTGATCACCTGTGCACTTTTTATTTTTCACGCTATAAATAAAAAAAGGCCAAAAATTTTGAAGAAAAACAATATTTTTTACTTTCAGCTATAAAAAATATATAGTAAACTCAAAGTTGGTTATAAATTTAGGCCAAAATGTATTCTACCACATGTTTTTGGTAAAAAAAAAAATCCCAATAAGTCTATATTGATTGCTTTGTGTGAAAGTTATAGCGTCTACAAACTATGGTATAGATACTGCAATTTACACCATTTTTTTGCTATACAGCTCTGCGCTAGTTTAACGGACAATTGCGCGGTCATGCAATACAGTACATAAATTAAATTTACATCCTTTTTTTTCCCCACAAATTGAGCTTTCTTTCGGTGGTATTTGATCGCCTGTGCGGTTTTTATTTTTTTGCGCTATAAAAAAAAAGGCTGACAATTTTGAGGAAAAAAAAAACAATATTTTGGACTTTTTGCTATAAAACATGTCCAGTAAAAAAAAATTTAAAAATCAAATTTAGTCATAAATTTCTGCCAAAATGCATTCTGCGACATGTCTTTGCTAAAAAAAAAAAACAAAAAAAAAAACCCAATACGTGTAAATTAATTAATTGGTTTACGTGAAAGTTATAGTGTTTACAAATGACGGGAAAGATACTAGGATTTTTAGGTTTTTTTTATACTAATTAATGGCGGCGATCAGCGACTTATGGCGGACTGCGGCGGACATTCTGACATTGGGGGGTACTGACTTGGGGTCACTGACATCCCCAGTGACACCAATACAGTGATCAGTGCAAAAAAAAAAAAAAAAACACTGACACTGTACTAATGGCACTGGGGAGGAAGGGGTTAACTTTATTTTTCAGGGAAGGGTTATCTGTGTGAGGGGGAGTGTTTTACTAGGAGGCGGGGGGGGGTGTGTGCTGGATGGCGACAGGCTGATCGGGAGAGAGAAACTCTTCTGTCCCGATCAGCTTGTCCTCGAGCTGTCAGGGAAGTGACAGAAAGCACAGCTACTGCAGCTATGCTCTCTGTCACTGATTGCCGCCGATCGCCGGGACATAGCCGGTAAGGACCGGCTGTGACCCGGCGACTGACATCCGCAGCTGTGATCGGCGGGACAGGTAGGGCGGCGGAGCGCGTCCCCTACCGGTTTACAAAACACACGTTTTAAAACGTGGTTTTGCCTGCCCGTGCCGCCCTGCCGCCGTATTTATACAGTGGCTGGGCGGCATGTGGTTAAAGGAAAAAAAAAAATAAATATATATAATGTTTAAAAAAAAATTAAGTTTAACAAAAAATTACAACTTAAAAAAAAAACTCACTCTTACTAAAAACCTTGGACTGTCCATTTTCCAAAAATGGGTCATTTGGGGGGTATTTGTACTAATCCTGGCATTTTCGGGCTTCAAGAAATGAGATTGCCCGTCAGAACATTAATTGATCGATGGTCAGATATATATACACCATGGTTTGTGAACTCTAACTTTCCTACAGACTAAATAATATAAACCAATTTGGGGTATATTCACCAAAGAAATGTAGCAGAGTACATTTTGACCTACATTTATGGAGAAGGTTATTTGCAAAATTTTATAACAGAAACAAAGAAAACGCAGTTATTTACCTGTTACCTGTATTTTCAGGAATCTTCCAGGACAGCTTCACAATGAGAGATAGGCTCCTCCCAGGAAACTGATCCACTTTTTTCCTATAAGTAGCCTCTCTCAGTAGGGGGCCCTCAGTACAGGAATATGACCGAAGGCCTAGGATAAAGCATTAAGATAACAGTAGGAAAAATATATGTCCAGTTCATTGAAAGACAGAATTTCAGAGTATATAGCTATACAGTAATTGGGAGGGAGCTACGCTGTCCTGGAAGATTCCTAGAAATGCAGTTTGGTAAATAACTGCGTTTTCCCGGGTCATCTTCTAGGACAGCTTCACAATGAGAGGATTGAATAGGATAGGAATATGTACGTTAGGGCGGGGCTGCTGCTTGCAGGGCCTTCCTGCCAAACACCTGGTCCTTTTTGGCAATCAGGTCCAACAGGTAGTGCCTGGTAGAGGTGCTCAAGCTGGACCATGTTGCAGCCCTGCAGATCTGTCCGGGAAAGGTGCCAGCTCTGTCTGCCCAGGTAGCTGCGGTGGCCCTAGTCGAGTGCGCTTTCAAGCCAGGTGGTGGAGTGACACGGTTTTTCAACACCTCTGAGATGGCTTCTCTTATCCATCTTGCGATGGTGCCTTTGGAGGCATTGTATCCCTTCCTTGCTCCTTGGAATAAGATGAAGAAGCTGGATGAGCGTCTCCATGCTTTGGTGCGCTCGATGTATGCGATTAGGCATCTTTTTACATCAATTTTGTTGTAGCCTCGTTCTTCGGTGTTGCTCGGGTTCCAACAGAAGGATGGTATTATGATTTCTTGTGATCTATGGAAGTGCGATGCGACCTTTGATAGGAATGCCAGGTCCGTATGGAGGATAATCATATCCAACAGGATTATGCAGTAAGGCTCTATTACTGACAGAGTTTGTAGTTCGGTGACTCTGCGGGCAAAGACTAGGGCTTTCAAAAGGGTGGTCTTGAGGGTCAAATGCCTGAGAGACCATTCCTCCAAGGGTTCGAAGGGTTTCTGTTGGAAACTTTTTAAGACTGTACCCAGATCCCAGGGGGTATTTTGGCGTGCACAGCGCTCTGCATCTGGAGATGGCCCTCAGGAATCTGATCACCGGGGGATCCTCTGCTAGTTTCAACTCTAGGAAGTTAGACAGAGCAGCTCCTTGCACTTTGAGTGTATTGGTAGCCAAGTTCTTGTCTGCCCCGGCTGAAGAAATTTGAGTATTGTATTTAGGATAGGAGCTTCCGACAACTTATTCCTATTCCTCCAGAAGGAAAATTTTCTCCATATTGTGTCAAAAATGGCATTTGTAGACTTTTTCTGCCCGTACAACATGGTGGTGACTACTCTCTCTGATAAGCCTTTATTGGCTAGCCTGCTCCGCTCAGAAGCCATGCTATCAATAACAGTAGGTCGTACGTGGGTGGTATTGTCCATGGGTCCCTTAGGTTCAGTTTTTTCAGGAAGGATAACCATGACCTTTTGAGCCAGAATGGAGTGATCAGGATGATTCTGGCCTGAGACGACTATCTTCTGTACCACTCTTGGTAGTAGTCTGAATGGTGGAAAAGCGTAAAGGAGGTCCCCCTCCCATGGCTGGGCCAGTGCATCTGTCCCCGCACTCTGGAGGTTCCTTTGAAGGCAGAAGTATTTTCCTAGCTTTGCATTTCTTTGGCTGGCGAAGAGGTCTATGGAGGGAGTGCCTCATTTGCTACAGATTTGGCCAAACCCTGTGTGGCTGAGGCACCATTCTGACTGATTTCCGCTTGGCTCAGCTGGTCTGCAAGCAGATTTAGATCTCCCTTCAGATGGACCGCCGTGATGGATTTCCGGTTTCTTTCTGCCCAGCTCAAGAGGGTTTCCGCCAGTCCCATTAGTTTTGGGGACTTCGTGCCTCCTTGCCTGTTCAAGTATGCGACGGCCGTCATGTTGACGGACAGGATCTGAATCTCTTTTCCTTCTATTTTCTCCTGGAAGGTCGTAAGTGCTCTGAAAATTGCCAATACTTACCTGAAGTTTGAAGATCTTTTTGCGGTTTCCGAGTCACACTTGCCCTGGGTCAGACAACCCTCCATGTGTGCGCCCCACCCCCGCATACTTTGCGTCAGTGGTGATTTTTGATGGGTTGGATTGTTTCCATTTCCTCCTGGCTTCCAGCGTGTGAATGTTTTCCCACCACTCCAATGACTTTCTCACTTTCTGCGTGAGGTGGATGCTGGAATCTAGAGACGCTTGTCTGCCGTCCTAGAGGGAGAGGATGTGATTCTGAATCGTTCTGGAGTGTAGTTGTGCCCATTGTGACCCCGGTATGGCTGCTGTCATGTGGCCGACGAGCTTCATGGCGCTTCTGATTGTGCAAGTTGCCGTCCCCTGGAGAGTCCTTGAGTCTTGTTGTAGTTTGAGTGCTTTTTCTGGAGTGAGGTATAAGCAAGCGTTCGTGGAATCCAGAATATATCCCAAATATGTGATTCTGTTGGAAGGGACTAACTGCGATTTCTAAGTATTTATTAGCCACCGTAGGTTTTCCTAGAAGGATATTGCATGCTCCACGTGGCATTTCAGAGCGCTTTCAGTGTCTGCGAACAAGAGTAAGTTGTCCAGGTAGGGGATGATGTTTATCCCTTCTAGCCAAGGCTTGCAGAGGTTCCGCTAGGATTTTCGTAAATATCCTTGGTGCTGAAGATAGACCAAAAGGGAGTGCACTAAATTGGAACAAGATCATTCTGTTATGTCCTTTAGCGTGAACCTTAGAAACTTCCTCGACTCCTCTCTTATCGGGATGTTAAGGTATGCATCATTTAGGCCTATTGATGCCATGAATACCCCAGGAGGAAGGATTTCTTTCGTCATGTAGATCGTCTTCATGCGGAGTTTTTTGGGTTTTTACGAACTCGTTCACTTTCTTTTGGTAGAACAACATTCTGTATTTCCCCAGACGTCTTCCTTCTTAGAAAAAAATGGGAGTAGAATCCTCTTCCCATCACTTCCTCCTCCAACTGACTGACCACGTTCTGTTGGAGCATTTCTTCCGGGAGGTTCACAAGTGCATCTGCCTTCCCCTCCTCCGTTGGCAGTAGAGTCAGGAAAAACCTGTGAGGGGGGAGTTGTGAAAATTCTATCCAGTAGCCATTTTGAATGGTATCTAAGATGAATGGGCAGCCATTGCATGTGGAAGTGTCCCTTCACCAGGCTCCAGCAGTCACTTGGACTGAGTTTTTGCCTTGTCCTGGTTGGGGTTGAAAGGAAGCCACCCTTCTCCCTTCCTCTTTGAGCCTCAGCCCTTCCTCTGTCCCTGAAACCTGGCCTCTGTCATTGCGTTCTGCCTGTTGGAGCAAAAAATTTGTCCCGTTTGCCTGCTGGGGACTGGAAATCCCTTCCTTTTGTCGGCCGACCTCTCTAGGACCAAAGTTAGTTCAGGCCCAAAGAGGAGTTTTCCCTCGAAGGAGGCGATGTCCCCCTGCCAGGATTTTGGCCAGATGGCTCTTCGGGCTGAGTTTATGAGCGAAGTCGATCTTGCTGTATATTTGATGGTCTTAGCCAATGCTTCTGTGATGAAGGCCACTGCTTTTTCTAAGATGGGTAGTAATTTAAGGATTTCCTCAGCCGGCGTACTTGTATAAGGTGAGAGCGGAGCTGCCCTAGCCATACATCTAGGGTTCTGGAAATGCAGGTTGTTGCTATTGCTGATATAAAGTTTACTGCAGATGCTTCCCACGCTCTTGAGAAATGTGTCTGCCTTGCGGTCCATTGGGTATTTTAGGGAACCTCCGTCTTCAAAGGATAGATCTTTGGATTTCAAGATCTTCGAAAGGGGGGCATCAGGTTTCAGGCAGGATTCCCATATGGACGCATCTTCCTCCTTAAACGGAAAATGCCTTTTAAAGATTTTTAGGAAAGAAAGCTTTCCTTTCCGGCTCTTCCCATTCCCTTTTTATGGTAGACCATAGGGTGGAGTAGAGCGGGAACATGCAGCCGCTTCTCTTTTGTAGTCCTGCATATAGCTGGTCGTGCAGAGAGAGAGACCGATTGTTCCTCTTCTAAATCCAGAGTATCGTAGATTACCTGCAAGAGGCCTTCTGTATCTTCTACTGGAAAAAGGAACCTTTGTGATCTGTGATCCTGGTCTTCCGTCTCACCTTCCTCAGTCGGAAGTGTCAGAAGGCTCCTCTTCTCGAACCACGACGGCACCCGGGTCCTGTTTCCTTTTCTTATCCGGCGGGGGAATGCCTGAAGTGCCGGGTTGAGGCTCGTCCGGGACTGGTTCCTGCATCTGTTCCGTAAAGTTTTGAAAGGTTTTAGACATCTCCTGCGTTATATTTTTGTAGAAAATCTCTAAAGAGGGATCCCAACTCTTTCTTGATCAGCTTAAGCCGAGGGCCCTGGGGGACTTCCCTAATGTGCACCCACTGGCACCTGAAATCCCAGAGGTTATGGAGAGAGAAGAGGGACCCCGTACCCCCTTGGGCCCCCCAAGACCCCAGGCTAGGAAGAACATAAGGGGCGGGGGGGGTTGGTGGGGTTTGCATAGCAGCCAACAGGCTCCTACTTTGCTGCTGGCCTCCCCCAGCTCGGACAGATCTGCCTCCATTCTGGCTGCATCCCGCCCTCAGTTCAGTGGTCTTTGAAGGGTGGTGGGGCTCCACTCCATCCCGGCCGCTAGTGCACGGAGCAGCCGTGGCGTGGGGCAAATCTGCAGTCTGCCGCCCATATCCAAGATGGCGGCAGTCCGCTTCCTGTTCCTTGGGCACCAGAAGTGAAGCTCGTCGGTCCCGGTGCCTGGAAATGACGCGGGCGTGATGTCACCGATGGAGATGTCGGTCTGCCAGGAGGAAGGTAGGCTTTGCCCCACAGGGTAGAGGCCCTTCCGAACAGGAGTCTGCCACCCCACAAGGCCCCTGCCTTGCTGAGAAAAAAAAGGAAGGGGAGCCCCAGCCAGGAGGCCTCTGTACCCGGCCAGACAGCGAAAGAAAAAAACAAAAAAAACAAAAACAAACGGGAGTAGCGTCCGGGGCTTGTTCCTGGCTGGTGGAAGCATTAATACTGAGGGCCCCCTACAGAGAGAGGATAATTATAGGCAAAAAGTGGCTCGGGTGTTTCCTGGGAGGAGCCTATCTCTCATTGTGAAGCTGTCCTGGAAGATGACCAGGGAAAAACGCATTTTTTTTTTTTCAAAAGTTTCGGGTTCTTTTGTTTATTTAGCAAAAAAGCTCAGTGGTGATTACATACCACCAAAAGAAAGCTCTATTTGTATGAAAAAAATTTTTTTAAATGTTTTATGTGTACAGTGTTGCATGACCACACAATTGTCATTCAAAGTGTGACAACACTCAAAGCTGAAAATTGGCCTGGGCAGGAAGGTGGTAAAAGTGCCCGCTACTGAAATGGTTAAAGGTAGTAGTTCTGGGTTTTTTTTTTTCAGCCTGAAAATGCCCCTGCCAAAAAATGCTGATAAAAGCCTATGTGTGATGGACACATAGAATAACATGCAGGGGAGTTTACTGACTGTAGAAAAAAAAAAAAAAAAAGCGCCTGACGCTCAAAACAGCAGCTGTAAAAATGACCAGTGTGCATGAATGCTTTATGTGACTGGTGATTACGGGAAACTTCTTTGTGCTTTAGAATGTGCAACACAGCAAGAAGCCTGCAGAGCAGCAGGATGTCTTTTGGGAATAGCTTTACAAAATTATAAACAGGGGTTCCCAGATTACTGAAAAAGAGTGATAGAATGAAGCAATACAGAAATGCCTGGGAGTAATAAAAAAAAAAAAAAAAAAAAAAGCACACTGACCAGATACTCTGTGCTCCCTGAATGTACATTTTGATCAGAGTGTACCTCATGAGCTTCTTATGTATGCTAAGACCCAAATATAGATAAATATCTTACCACGTTGCAGCATAATTGTACTCTTGCAAATCGGCAGGGGCACAAAACTTCCTAGTCTTTCATTCAGACATCCCACACAAATGGAAATCATACTTTAGGTCAGCTCAGGTCATGGTAGGAGTGCCATGGCCAATAGCCAGGCAAAAGTCTTTTCCCATAATATACAATTCACTTTCAAAGGAATTCCACATTACGCACAATTCTTTCCCATGTGACTTCTTAAGTTCATTAAGTAATCACCACTTGTGTAGCAGCTGAGTTTTAAAATTACACACAGCTTTATTGCTGCTCCTCAGTACAGTTTTTGTCATTGGAAGTTTTTTCTTCTGCATGTAAAGTAACCCAGTCACACTACAAAGCTATCCTTGCAAAAGATATAAAAAATATTTACCTATCCCCCTGCCTAAGCTTTTGAATGCTTCTGTACTCAAGAATATTCTTCTGAACTCTGAGAAACCCACACTTCCATGGCTGTCTATATCCCTATAGTGGTTTCTCCCACCAACTTCCACATCGCAATGTGCTGTACTGATGCAGGGGTCAGTAGGATAAACCGTCAAGTATTTTAGGGTGTGTGCCATAAGCCCTAGAGCCTCAAGTGGATAAATTCAAGCACAGCAATTTTTCTGAAACATTCAGCTTCCTGTGAACCTTTCTACAGACGCACTCAGACTAGGAGAAGGAGAGATGCCAGAGTTAAGCTTTAGCAACATCCTGCAACCTTAAGACTCACCTTGGACTCTTCCAGACGATTGTAAATTTGCCAGAAATATTTGCTAAACAGTTCCTTGCTTATTGGCTGCCCATTGATCCGGATCCTCTCTCTCACTTGTACCAGGTGGGGAGAGCTGCAATCGGGATTCAAAACAGCAAAGATTACATTTTTCACATGCAAAGTCTACAATTACTTAGACAAAGACCATAAAGGATGTAAAAGTCATTAGGGGTAGTGGAAAGCAGGCTACAAGACCCACTTGTATAATATATCTGCAGTACAGAAACGTCAGGTCTTCAGGTTTGCTGTGTAAATATCTGGACAGGATGCACAAACACATACCCTGGCAAAGTAAAACAGCTCTCATATTTCATCCATCAATCTGGATGTTTGCCAGGGATTCAGCTTTAAAGCCAGCTTAAATAAGAGTCACAACAATGCAATGGGGAGATTTACTAAAACTGGAGAACGCAAAATCTGCTGCAGCCGTGCATGGTAGGCAATCAGCTTTTAACTTCAGCTTGTTAAATCAAGTTTGACAAAACCCAGAAGCAGATAGGTTTCTGGACGAAAAACAAGGTACCCGCACCCCCCCCCCCCCCCCCCCCCCTAAAAAGATTGCCAAGCGAGAAAGAGGAGGGGGGGGGGAGCAGACCTTAAAGCAGAACTTCCCCATTTGGGTGGAGTTCCGCTTTAAGGGGACATTTACATGCTTTTATACTGCAGTGCAGCGGATTAGTGCACAGCCACACGCAAGTGTAATTTCAAGTTTTTTAGGGTTTTTTTTAAAGCGAACTAAATTGCATCTGAGCGCTAGAAGCCAAAACCGCTATTTGAGTCATCAACCACTTCAGCTCCGGAAGATTTACCCCCCTTCCTGACCAGGCCATTTTTTGCGATACGTTGCTGCATTACTTTAACTGACAATTGTGCAGTCATGCAACGCTGTACCCAAATGAAATTTATGTCTTTTTCCCACAAATAGAGCTTTCTTTTGGTGGTATTTGATCACCTCTGCATTTTTTTTTTACTTTTTGCATTACAAACTAAAAATGTCAACTTTGAGGGAAAAAATTTTTTCTCTACAATAAAACATAGCCAATACATTTTTTTTTTAATTATTTTTTTTTTTGTAAAATTTAAACCAAAAATGTATTCTGCTACATATTTTTTGGTAAAAAAAAAAAAATCCTAATAAGCGTTTACTAATTTGTTTGCGCAAAAAGTTAGTGTCTAATATATATATATATATATATATATATACACATACACACACACACATATACATACATATACACACACACACACACACACACACACATACATACACACATACACACACACTGGAAACTTATTTATTTATTCTTTTTTATACTAGTAATGGTGGCAATCAGCAACTTATAGTATGACTGTGATATTACAGCGGACATTTTTACTCTGACACTTTGTGGGAACTAGTGATACAGTGATCAGTGCTAAAAACATACATCGATTACTGTACCTGGTTGGGAAGGGGTTAACATCTAGGATGATCACAGGGTGAAGTGTGTGCCTAGCTATGTGTTTGTACACTAGGTGGTGCTGGAACAAGAGGAAGTGATGGATGTTTCCAGTTTACAAGTAGCTTTCTGGTGAATGCACATCCATAGAAGGTGGTGGATTCCCATGTTGGATCATGAGCACTCTCAAGCATCCCAGATGGTATTGCTGCACCTTGTAGTTCCACGAACACCGGGCATTGCTGTGATCTGTAGTGCCACAGACTATGTATATCACCATTATTGCTAAATATGAACACATATCACTTGGTACTTCTGTGACCTGCAGTGCCACAGACTATCCACTATTTATATTCAGAATTTTAGAGTTTTTTTTATGATTCTATGTGATCTGAGACGTTTTAATTGATTTATTTCACTGGAATTTTGTATGAACACTTCTATTCACATAAGCAATTTATGATTGCATTTGTCACTTATGCTGTAGTGCTGCACTTACATTTGAATTAATTCCTGTGTCCTGTTGAATTAAGATGAGGCACATCCATTGTTATTTATTAGAAAATGTACAAAGGGAAAGGTAAGATGCAACGAGAAGCAAAATTTAAAAAAGGTGGGTTATTGCACTGACTTTCCTTCTACTTTTTGACACAGGAAACCTATCTATCCACTTTGCTACCATGCACTTCCTAACATCCAGAACAACAGGAGGTATAGTTAGGACAAGGCATTACCCATACATTGCTACTCTTAACCCTAGGTTCACATATGTGCGGGTGGTGCCGCTGCGGATCCGCACGAAAACCTGTGCAGCTGCACCACCTGCACAGAAAAAATGCGGACCCGTGGGCGGGGGCCATTAGTTCTAATGGCACGCCGCCTGCACTGGAAAACGCAACCGTACTGGGAACAGAGGTTCCTATGCGGGCTGCATTTTCCAAAGAAGCGCAGGGACTTCTTCCCTGCGTGTCATGGGCATGGGAGTCCTTTCAAATGAATGGGTTCTCGTGTCCGTGGAAAACGCGGCCCGCACGGCCGCATATATGTGAACCAGGGTAAAGGGACAGAAGACACATAATGGCAGGGAAAATCAAGCACAGGTTGTAGTCTGTACCATCAGCCAAGAACTTTGAACTAATCAGTTTTCCACATTAGCTCTCATTTGACAGGAACTCAGCAATTAGCCTGTCTGTCATGTGAAGGGATAACTTCTCCACTGGCCTCCCTGGGCTACAAAACACATGCATAACAAATCTGCGTAGTTAGTTGTTGGTCACCCATAGCTCAACTGACAAGTTCTCGTCATTCCCCTCACACATGCAAAACCTCCATCAAACTGATAGTTACCTATAAAATCCAGTCTTTAGGCCACAGTTCCGCAGAATCTGCTCGGTGAAGGCACATGTGGACCCCTGAAAACACAAAACACAAAGATCAGCCATTGGCCACACAAGCAATAATAGCAATATATAGAAAAAACTATTTCACAAAAAAATTCATACTCCTGTTAACATTTCTGCATAAAGTTAAGAGTAACATTTCTGTCATTTTGTATATTTCGGTCTGTGACCACACTGAAAAGATGCAGCAAACACATACTGCCATTTTGTTGGTTATCCAGCATCTTGGTATCAGATGGTTGTTTGCGCTTTCCCCGCTGTGAATGGCCACAAAGTCTGGTATGTCTAGCCCTATAGCTTAACATCATACAAAATGCAGCGGTTGTTTGGAATTGACCACATAGTTTATTGTATATTACAGTGGACTCAACCATAAACCATGGCATGGTGAGTGATCTTCTTATGCATATGTTATTACGTTTTGTGCAGCTGGTCATCTCAGACTTTGGTGGGCTACAATGATGGACTAATGTCATTTCACCATAGACACCAGTGGTTTTGTTAGCAGCACATAGTCCTTTTGGGCTTTGTATTTACAATGGCTAGAGGGTTTTTAGAGCTGTGGTAGAGACTTCTTTTGCTGCCTACCTTCTGAAAATGCTAGCTGCCTGCCTATCTCAGAACAGGTACTTGCAATCAGCAACTATATTCAGAATGCCCTCGGAATCTCCTGACTTGACCTTGGTCAGCAAGTCAAAGTACCGAAGCCAAGGGGTCCATCAAGAATCCAGGGAACTAGAAATTCTTCATAGAGGGCAACCTCCACACCTCTCATGTCAAAATTAATTTAAACATTTTGGAGCAGAATCTGAGGAAGGGCAGCTTAGCTGGTCCCTATATGTGTGCTGCGGAGGAATTTCCCAACATTCTTCATAAAGATGGAAAAAAAATGAAAGCATTTTCCTTGCAGCGTACATCACCATTACTACTGGGTTCTAAATTGAACATTAACACTAAAAGAGTTCTAAAACTATGTCATCTATCAAGGTGTGTAATGCTGGAGAATAGTTCAAGATGTTTATCATTCTCTCATATCATGTGTTCAGTGGCAAAGAACACTGAACTATAAAGCTTGTCAACACAAACTGGAGGAAAGGAGACTCATATGCAAGCTTTAATGTTTAACCTTTGCTATAACAATTATGGCTGGAAATGTATTGCTATGGGGAACACATGCAAATGATTTCTCCCTTTGCAGCTGCAGTCTGAGGTGAAAAGATCCAAAGAAAAATATGTACCAACTCGTACAGTTTAACCTCTTCGCGCCGGCCAGCCCTCTAAGAGTTTCAGAAGCCGGGAGGGGTTTTAGGGTCATGTGACTGACGTGATTCGCCATTACATGATCTGAAAAGGTCCCGATCAAAAGGGGAGATTGGGACCTTTCTGTGAGTCACGGACATACGTGCTGGAGCGCGCAGGGCGCACGCTCAGCACAAATGTATTTTCTAATTGCATGCAAATATGCAGCCGCTTGGCGTCAAAGCCCAGAAGCCGAGAGGCAGCATATTTGCGTGTGCTCGGCGTCAAGGGGTTAAAGTTGTTCTAAAGGCCAAAGGTTTTTACCTTCATGCATTCTGTGCATGAAGGTAAAAAACCTATGCGTAGCTTCCCCCCCCCCCCCAGACCCCCTTATACTTACCGATCTCGATCCAGTGATTTGCACTAGAGAGCATCGGTCCAGTTTTCTCTAATCTAATTGGCTCAGAAACAGAAGTGGGAGCCATTGGTTCCCGCTGCTGTCAATCACAGCTAGTGAGGAGGGAACGGGGGCAGGGCTGAGCCGACCCACGCTCTGTGTGTCTACAGACAGATAGAAGAACAGGGTTCGGGAGCAAGCACACATGAATGCCCCCACAGCAAACAGGTTGCTACGGGGCACTCAGAAGGGTAAGGAGCCAGGAGGGCAGTAGGGGAACTGGGAAGAAGATGATTGGGGCTGCTCTCTGCAAAATAATTGCATGGAGCAAGCAAGTAAAACTTGTTTGTGATTTAAAAAAAATAAAAAATACCTTTAGTATCACTTTATTTGGGTAAGTTAAGTTTTACAAAAACACTCCCCTACCCCACCCACTTACCCTCCTCTTAAGATTAAATGTAGTGACAAACTTTAGATGACAGCAACCCTCCATTCTCATCGCACAAACAGCCTTGACAATTTGGACAGGCTCTTTTTTCTAGGGCCTGGCTGGAACAAGGTGTCCAGGGCACAGCTGTAGCCCCATAGGCTGCAAAGTATGCCTGCCAGGAGCAAGTTGAACCATTAACAGGGAATGAAGGGAGGCATACCTGCCTTTAACATCTGTAAATACATGCAAGATTTTAATGAGAACAAGGGAGGGTAAGATGAATAGATTTTTTTAACACTACACATAACTTTGTATATAATTATATTTTAAAAGGTATTTTAATTTGGGATGGTGTGGGAAATAGTTAAAACCTCAGTCTGCATCTCTTGTGGGCATACACTTGCCATTTTGACTTAATTTCACTGGAATTCTTAAACAAACCCACTGCATGCACACACTGTAGCCATCATGTCACATTTCGCCAACAGTGACACGTCATAAACAGATGTCACCCTTTAACTCGGGGGGTCAGCAACCAGTAGATCACGGCCAGGTAACTGGTAAATCGTGGTCTGGGCTTGCTGACCCGCCATCCCAGAGCAGCAAACAGAATGCAATGCAGAGGGACTACTTGTAAAGTTAGAGCTGAATTAGGGAGCAAGAGCTGCCTAAGCCTATGCCTCCTCAGTAGTGCTGGCTCCTGTCCCATGCAGAGTGATACCAACTGCACTCCACCTCTTATCTCGGCTAGCGACTTTCAGAATGATGGCAGCAGCAGGAAAGAAGAGATTTTCAGATCAGTGTGCAGCAATACACTGGGTATAATAGCATAGGGCTGCTTTCACACTGATGTGCTGCGGTCTACCCATACCACGGGTGCAGTGCACTGTACCTACAGCTTTCCTGCGGGTTTGCTGCACTTAGCCATAGACTTCTATTATATCCTGCAGGTGTGGTGCACTTTCTGAAAGTGCACCAAAACTTGTGAACGTAGGAGTTTTGGCGAACTTGCAGAAAGCGCACCACACCTGCAGGATATAATAGAAGCCTATGGCAAAGCACCGTTAACCCAGGAAAGTCGCAGATGTACTGTGCTGCACCTTTGGTTCATGTAAACCACAGCACATCAGAATGAAAGCAACCTTATATGGGGCTCAGCACAGTAAAGGTTCATTTGCATTTGGGGGGGGGGGGGGGTGTAAAACCCCATAGTTAAGACATGTTTTTATCAACCCTGACCCAACCACACCCCATTTAGCTGCAGTGGCCAGGGGTGTACACATCGCAGCTGGAGTTATACGCTCCCTCATTGTTGGTGGGTGTAGCACCTGGCAAGCATGACCCATACAAGTGAATAAGGCCGCTCTGCAAGTGCCCTGCAACCTTGTGCAGTACAGCAAACAAGGGGTTAAGCAGGCAGCGTTATGTTGCTTTCTCACCACATGCTTTAACCCCTTGGACACCGCAGAAGCATGCAGTCGTGGGGCGCTTGCAGAGTGGCCCCATTTACTTGAATGGGTTGCAATTGGCAGGCAGTAGCACGTACCAAAAGCAACAGAAGGTCTAATTCCTGCTGTGGCATGTGTACACCTTTGGTTGCTGCCCCAGCAGTTACGGGGGGGGGGGGGGGGGGGGGGGTAAGGATTTTGGACGGTAAAACTGCAACTCAACCGCAGGTTGTGTGTTTGACTGCTAGTAAGAAGCGATATTGCCTCCTCATCACCCAATTTAAACCAATGATTGCCATGCACTGCACATGAAAGCAATGTTGTAGTACAGCAATTAGTGGTTTTAATCAGGTGTGAGAAGTCGACACTGTGCCTGGTGATCTTTGACTTCTCCCATGTTGTTCCGGTAGAGATCCACCTCTTTAAGGTTGCCTACCCCTGCTGTAAATAGGCTGCCAGTTGTTTACTGCAGTCAGAGCACAAAAACTGAGTGTGCTTTTCCAAAATACCGCTGGGAGATTTCATGTGTTCAGCAACAGCGAGGCTCTGACAATGAACTGAACGTTACATAACTTATCCTCTGAATTCTGTTCTCCTCCTCTGCAACTCACCTTGCCCTTTGTTCCAGTCACATGAATTATATTTAGCTGATCCAAGTCTTCCACCTGAACACACAAAACAAAACAAACAGTCAGTACGAGAGAGATCAGAACATAATAGTGTTAGCTGCTAGGACTGTGCACAAAGATTACATATAGAAATCCTCTGCAACATCTTATAAAGCAGATCTGGGAAAACCCTGCAAGCTACATGGTCAATGTGTATATATAAGTAGGGTTTGGCCACTTGTGTTCCCCTTCTCTGCAGCTGATAAAAGCACTTTCCCCTGGCTGTCCAAGATTGCCTTGGGGCTCGTGATTTCACACTAGTTCCTGTAGTCACGGTCATTGTTCAACCCCAATTATTACAGAATGTGTTCAACTAGAAAAGCAGACATCTATATTTACAGGACAGAGGCCTGAAGGATTCCTTCTGCTAGGCTGGGATCAAACAATGCAACCCTTTTGTGTGAAATGATCACTTTCAAACAAATCACTGGACCGTTCGGGGAAGAATGGTGTCAGACAACTTGACAATCAAAATTACATTTTCATTCTTTAACTGCCACTTTTCAGCACAGGACTCAAAGTGATTGGCTGTTTTTCTCTTCATTAGAATAAATTATGTTTTATGAGCGCAATCACAAAAGGCAGAGGCATGAACAGCGTGCAAGAGTTTGTTTCTCGTGCAGTGTGAAGCTGTGTACAGGCAGCCTGTGTTCGTGAATTTAGGCGCAATGGCTGCACGGTCTCAACTGTACATCTGAGTATGACAAGAGTGCAGGGAAAGGCTCACGGCCCAAACACACATGGCTTGTCAAGCCCAGATATGCCCCAAAAGCTGGGAGACCTGAAAGAATTACAGCTGAACTGCAGGCAGATATAAAAGACATAAATGAATGCAACACTGCATTTGTTGCTATATCATTCTGCATTTACTAATATATCATTAAAGAATATCCAAAAGGCAAAAACTTGCCCCCCCCCCCCCCCTTCCTCATTTTGGACAGAGTAGAGAATGTTAAAATTAAGTCATTTTTTTGTTTGCAAACTGTGTCCCCATTAGAGAGATTTCCCTTTACTACCTGTCCTGTATACTAAACAGGAATTGAGCAGATATCTTTCCAATGTGAAGAAAATCCCCTCTTACATGACTGCCACTGGAAAATTTTCCCTCTCTTCCTGTCCTGGCGGCAACTCAAAATGTAAGCTCAATCTACGTCCCGGTGACATCGGTCATCAGGACTAATGAACAAATCTCCCTAATGAAGATACAGAGAGCAATAAACACCTGACAGTGGTTCTAACTCCTCAGGACTCTTCCTTTTGTTATCCTTTATATATAAACCTTTTTTTGCCACTAGTGCAGGAACCTAAATTTGACCGAGGGCCAGTTCACACTATAGAAACGCAGTCCAGATGCGTTCCGGATGAGTTTCTGCATGTGTGTTTTTGATGCATTCCAGTGCGTTTGACACGTTCCAGTTCATTGCCCCCCCCCCCCCCTCTTCCATTTAGCTAGGGACGTGTGTTCCAGCACATGTTTGATGCGTTTTACTGCTTATCAGTACAGTTCTGTGCAGGAAAAATGCAGCTTGTTCTACTTTTTGTTTTGAAACCACAACACACTGGAACTGCAAGCACTGATGTGACCTTATGACATTGCATCCAAAACACACAGAAAGTAGGTATATATGTTGTCAGAGAAAAGGCACACTGAAACACATGTAGTATAAACTGGGCCTAAATCAGTCTATCAATCCCTGTACTGCAGAGCCCTGGCTGAGAGAGGTTGGCAAGCCAATTAGTTGCACTGTAGTGCTGATATGATAAGAAAAAAAAAAAAATGATAAAAGCTGGTAAGAGTGACTACGAGGTAAATCTGTGGGTCTGCTGCTTCTACACTATAAAATCACAAGCTGGAGGAAGGACAAGACCTCTAAGTGTAAACTAACTACAGTGGAGGAAAAAAAATTAGGTCTCCTCCTGCCTTGCCGGACAGAGCTCTGTGACTTGTGTAAATCTCAAGACTATATAGACAAAAAAATTAAACACTTTGGCACCTAAAACAGTTCTCATACTGCAAATATTTCTGTATTCTGTACCAATGTGGTGCCAATATTTAAAAAGAGGTCAAAATCTTTACCAAGTAATTATAGACCTGTTAGTTTAACTTCTATAGTTTGGAAGATATTGGAGAGTTTAACTACCTGCCGACCGCAGATAGCCGAATGACGGCTGCACTGCGGCCGGCCAGTTCTGAGTGGACGTCATATGACGTCCTCCCAGAACGCGCTCTCCTGCGCGCCCCAGGGGGCACGCACCCGGCGATCTCCGTGATCGCTGTGTCCTACGGACACAGCTGATCACGTGATGTGGTAAAAGGCCAATCACAGCGGCCTTTTACCACCTGATCAGCGGTGTCCAATGACACGCTGATCAGAGGGAAATGCAAGTGCCGGTTCTCGGCTGCACTTTCCTCACGCTGTCAGATCGTGAGGAAAGTACTGCCGAGAACCGGCAGTTGTCAGAGCGGGGATCGGCACCGATCATCAGGGCACTTATGATCAGTGCCCTGATGATTGGTGCCCAGCAGTGCCACCTGCAAGTTCCGCCCACCTGTGCCCAGCAGTGCGCCCACTAGCTCCGCCCACCTGTGCCCAGCAGTGCACCCACCTGTGCCCAGCAGTGCACCCACCTGTGCCACTCTGCAGTGTCACACACCTGTGCCCAGAAGTGCCACCTACCTGTGCCCAGCAGTGCCACCCACCTGTGACCACCAGTGCCACCCACCTGTGCCCACCCACCAGTGCTGCCCACCAGTGCAGCCCTGCAGTGCTGCCAGTCAGTGCCACCAGTCAGTGCCCAGGGGTTGTGCCAGTCAGTGCCGCCAGTCAGTGCCCAGCAGTGATGCCAGTCAGTGCCGTCTATCAGTACCCATCGTCAGTGTCACCTATCAGTGCCACCTATCAGTGCTGCATATTAGTGCCGCCTATCCGTGCCACCTCATTAGTACTGCCTATCAGTGCCCTTTAGTGCTGCCTATCAGTGCCCATCAGTGCTGCCTCATTAACGCACATCAGTGAAGGAGAAAAAATGCCTGTTTGAAAAATTTTATAATAGAAACAAAGAAACATTTTTTTTTTCAAATTTTTTGCACTTTTTTTATTTATAGCACAAAAAGTAAAGCGCCCAGTGGCGATTAAATACCACCAAAAGAAAGCTCCATTTGTGAGAAAAAAATGATCAAAATTTCATATGGGTACAATGTTGCATGACCGCGCAATTGTCAATCAAAGTGCGGCAGCGCTGAAAGCTGAAAATTGGCCTGGAAAATAAGGGGGTATAAGTGCCTGGTAGGCAAGTGGTTAATAAAAGACCACATAGATGAGTTCTTGCTGGAAAAAAAATATTTTAAGCAACAGACAGCATGGATTCATGAAAGACAGAAATTGTCAAACAAATCTGATTTCTTTTTATGAGGAGGTGAGCAAAACCTTGGACAGAGGGGTGGCGGTGGACGTGGTATACTGGGACAGAGGGGTGGCGGTGGACGTGGTATATTTGGATTTTGCAAAAGTGTTTGACACAGTTCCCCACACACAGCTAATGTGTAAAGTAAAGTCTACGGGCTTGGAAAAATCTGTATGTAAATGGATAGAAAACTTGCTAAAAGATCGTATTCAGAGAGTAGTGGTTAATGATTCATACTCTGAATGGTCTAGGGTCATCAGTGGTGTACCCCAAGGTTCAGTGTTGGGACCCTTACTTAATATATTTATAAAACAATATAGGGTCTGGGATTATAAATCCCATTTCAGTCTTTGCAGATGACACCAAGCTGTGCAGTGGAATAACGTCCTTACAGGATGTCTCCAATTTACAAGCCGACCTCAATGCACTGTTTAATTGGGCAACTATGTGGCAATGAGGTTTAATGTTGATAAATGTAAGGTTCTGCACTTGGGGGCTAAGAATATGCATGCATCATACATACTAGGGGGGGTACAACTGGGGGAATCAATGATGGAGAAGGATCTGGGGGTTCTGGTAGATCACAAGCTTAATAATGGCATGCAATGCCAAGCTGCGGTTTTTCTAAAGCGAGCAAAATCCTCTCTTGTATTAAAAGAGGTATAGACTCCAGAGAGAGAGATATCATATTACCCCTGTACAAATCATTAGTAAGACCTCATCTGGAATATGCAGTTCAGTTTTGAGCACCAATTCACAAAAAGAACATTGGGGAACTGGAGAAAGTACAGAGAAGGGCAACCAAACTGATAAGAGGCATGGAGGAGCTCAGCTATGAGGAAAGATTAGAGGAACTGAACTTATTCTCTCAAGATGAGAAGATTAAGGGGGGATATGATCAACATGTATAAATACAACAGTGGTTTATATAGTGAACTTGGTGTAGCGTTATTCACCCTGAGGTCATCACAGAGGACAAGGGGCACTCTTTACATCTGGAGGAAAAGAAATTTAATCTCCAAGCACAGAAAGGTTTCTTCACAGTAAGAGCTGTGAAAATGTCAAATAGACTCCCTCAAGAGTTGGTTCTGGCCAGCTCAGTGGATTGCTTTAAAAAAGTCCTGGATTCTTAGATACACAGAATATAACTGGATACTAACATTTATAGGTAAAGTTGATCCAGGGAATATCCGATTGCCTCTCGGGGGATCAGGAAGGAATTTTTTTCCCAGCAGAAGCAAACTGGATCATGCTTTGCTGGGGGTTTTATTTGCCTTCCTCTAGATCAGTGGTTCTCAACCTTTCTAATGCCGCGACCCCTTAATACAGTTCCTCATGTTGTGGTGACCCCCAACCATAAAATTATTTTCGTTGCTACTTCATAACTGTAATTTTGCAGTGGGAGGAGTAGTGCCCCATCGTTGGTGTCAGTGGGGGGAGGAATAGTGCCCCATTGGTGTCAGTGGGGGGAGGAATAGTGCCCCATCGTTGGTGTCAGTGGGGGGAGGAATAGTGCCCCATCGTTGGTGTCAGTGGGGGGGAGGAATAGTGCCCCATCGTTGGTGTCAGTGGGGGGAGGAATAGTGCCCCATCGTTGGTGTCAGTGGGGGGAGGAATAGTGCCCCATCGTTGGTGTCAGTGGGGGGAGGAATAGTGCCCCATCGTTGGTGTCAGTGGGGGGAGGAATAGTGCCCCATCGTTGGTGTCAGTGGGGGAGGAATAGTGCCCCATCGTTGGTGTCAGTGGGGGGAGGAATAGTGCCCCATCGTTGGTGTCAGTGGGGGGGGGGAGGAATAGTGCCCCATCGTTGGTGTCAGTGGGGGGAGGAATAGTGCCCCATCGTTGGTGTCAGTGGGGGGAGGAATAGTGCCCCATCGTTGGTGTCAGTGGGGGGAGGAATAGTGCCCCATCGTTGGTGTCAGTGGGGGGAGGAATAGTGCCCCATCATTGGTATTAGTGAGTGCCCCATCGTTGTGTGTTCAGTTGGGGGAGGTATTAGTGCCACCAATGATTGGGCACTATTCCTCCCACTGACACCAATGATACTTACCTTGCTGACCCCTGCTCCAGCCTGGGCTCGCTCGCTCCCTCCCTTTCCCAGGGTACAGACACTTACCGGTCAGATGTCTTCCTTCTCCGGCCGCTCTCCTCCTCTTCACTCGCTCGATCTTCGCGGTGCCACTCGGCTCCTCCTTTCCAAGCTCCACCTCCTCGCCGGTGATTGGCCGCCTGTGTGCCTCTCCTGAGCTACAGTTCCGGCGGCCAATCACCGACGAGGAAGGATTGATCCCGGGGGTGTGTCCAGATGACAGGGACGGCATGTCATCCCGCCCACACCTGGAGACGGATCAAGGAGCGGTGTCTCGGTTCCTAAGGCCATCGGAAATATGTGTTTTCCGATGGTCTTAGGCGACCCCTGGGAAAGTGTCGTTCGAATGTTAATAATAACTCAAAAACAGTTTGCAAAACACAGTAAGATTGACTGAATCAAATCGCTTCTGGGAAAAAAAAAAAAGATCCAACACCTTGTGCAGTGTGCGATTTAAGACATACAAAATGAATGGCTCAAATCGCACTGCAAAAGAATTGCATGTGATCTGAACAAGAATGCAGTGCTATTCCTGTCCAAATCACATGCGTTTTCCCCGCACCCAATCAATGTGAACGGGCCTTTAAGGTGTTTCTTTGCAGGCAGCCCTTAAGTTTTCATTCTAGCAATAGTAAAGTCACTTTAAGGCTCGGTTCACACTGATGCGATGCAGCAAAAGCACAGGAATCTCTGTGTTCATACAAACTGCTACGGGTGTCAATTAAAAGTTAACGACAATGCAAAACAGGTCACATAACTCAGTGCATTTGCCTAAATGGGATTGCATAGGTATGACCACCCATGTTATCCGATTCCAGTGCAGAAAAGAAGAAAAAAAAAAATGTGCCTGTATCTTTTTTTTTTTCTTTCTTTAGAGGATGCAGTGTGACTTGAACCATACAAAAATGATTGGCTCAAACTGTACGGCACAGAACTGCACGAGATTTACACAGGCTGCTTAGCTGTGTCTGCAGCTTGTTTTAGGATAAGCTATTTGGCAGAAAAACTAATAATCGCTATTAAGTCACTTCCAACTTTCTCACTCCTAATAGTTAGCTTTGAAGAACTGTGAGTAATCTACAATCCCAGCACATTGTGGAGTCCCTTGGGAGAACATGTACACAGCACAAAACATATCACCTTCATTCAGATCCATGTGATGTTACTTACTGTCAGTCCGCTTCTCTCCAAGAAGCCCTTCATAGCAGCAAGCTGAATCTGAGGATCACTCCTCTGCCTCTTCACCTGGTCCAGGTAACTGGCATTGGTCTGCAGCGTGTTCAGTGTACGGATCGCATCCTGAGCAAAAGAAGAACACAATTAGAGTCAAAAACTGGGAACTACCTGTGGTGACATCTGGTGTGGTGCATCTTGAAGCAAAATGGGTCTGAACCTCAGTTCTCCCGTTCTTCATCAGCTGTCCTGCCAATCAGCATTGTGCCATAGTGCACTGGACACAGATTGTAGTTGGTCAGGTCCCAGATTACTTAAAGTGGAATTCAAGCCTAAAACCTACTATTCTTAAAAATGCTCCCTCCCCCCACCTGTCTTGCTTACCCAGTGTAACAGCTTCTGGAAATCAAAGCCATTGGCAAGCGCTCACAAATGTGAATTAAATGTCTGGACCAGACTGAAAATAGCTAAGTAAACAGATTTTGTATTTTTTTTTTTCTTTTTGTGGAAAAAGGGACATAAATTTCATTTGGGTGCAGTGTTGCATGACTGCGCAATTGTCAGTTAAAGTAAAGCAGCACTGTATCGCAAAAAATGGCCTGGTCAGGAAGGGGGGGGAAATCCTCTGGAGGGCGAGTGATTAACCACTACACATTTATGGATAGCAGAGTGGCAGGCAGTTGCTCTACTCATCATTAGGACAGCTGAAGACACAAACAAGGTGTACCAAGCTAGTCCAAAAGGCCTGTACCATGTGGCTGAGAAAATGTAGCGGTACACACACACTGAACTGGTTGGTCCTGTGTCTTTATTCAACCTCTATGAATGGGAAATGGATCAGCAGTGTCCTCCTGTGTATGAGCTGGATGCGCTGTAGCCAGTGCACTGTTACCAAGCTTTAGATATCAGACCTTTAATACATCACATCTCCTCATTGCCAAAAATACCACGAGACCACCTTGGGGTGTCTACTTTCCAAAAAGGGGTCATTGTGGGGGTTTTCATTCTGTCCTGACAATTTTGTTTTATAACAAAGTAAGGGAAACCGGTTTTAATTTAAAATTTTTGGTATCTTCCTTTTTCAAGTAAAAAAATAAAATGAACGTTATTGATTTAGTTAAAGTAATACAGACGTTATTAAAAGGAGAACAGCAGCTAAAGCTCTGCAGTCCTGTGACCAGTTTTCAGCCCACAGCAGGCTGAAGCCCACTGTTGGTGATGTCACTCAACCGATCTAGGCTGGGGAAAGATCCCGACTTTAAGATCGAGATCCACCCCAGAGTCTGGAGCAGCACCTGGCTTGGCCTCCACTGAGCGTGAGGGGGATGGGGGGACAGCAGACAGCGGTGACCGACAGTCACCACTCTCTGCTCAGAGAGGCTGTGAGAACTCAGGGCAGTCATGTGATCTCCGAGTTCTCACATTTAAAGCCGGCGGGGGACAGATGCAGCATCCACCTAGGTAAGTATAAGGGGTTAAAAAAAAAAAAAAAAGTCTACACTTCTCTTTTAAATACCAAAAGAAAGCTCAGTCTAAAAAAAAATAAAAAGTTATCTTTAATACATTTTGGTACAGTAGTGCACAAACTATTACAGCACTGAAAACTGAAAGGGAGTCAAAAGGAGGTTAAGTTAACTGGTTATCTATTCTAGTTTCATCTGCAACTCAATAAAACACCATCTGTTCTGCTCTACAGTCACCAAAGTATATCTGAGTATAGACATATAATCATTGGAGAGCAGGCTGAGTTGCCAGCACAGCTATAGAACTGACCATGCTGTGCCCTTCTGCCTAGTGTAGTCAGTTTTTAAAAGGAAGGTAGAGGGACTGGCAGGAACACCAGGGATGTCACACAAAGGAAGCAATACAAGGAACAGGATATTTTTTAAACAAGTACATGGAACAGCAGGCACATATCAGGAATATGAAATGTTGGGGTGACATTCTTTAATGCTGGATTTCACTCTGGTGTTTTCTAATAAAATAATAATTGCAGACATAGCTGGAAGGGGCTACACCAAATACTGGAAAATGTGTTGGCAGCTCAGAACATATCCACATACAGTTGATAAATTATTACAGAAGCAACACAGAAGGCAAGAATACAAATCCCAGCCATGATAAAAGACAATGAGCCACCAGCGTCTGCCCTCTGGGGGGTGTCTGACAAATCTGGAGGCCCAAGTGTTTGTAGCAGAAAGACGACCAAAGTAGCCTGGCTACAAATCCACAAAGATATGAGATACAGAGCCTGTTCTTACAGACCTGTCACTAGATACACCGTGTCCTGCGTTGGGTCCAATAAATAGTGTACCTTATACTCCGCTCTGTGAACTGAAGTGACTCTGGTAAATCCTTACACAACATGCCTGGCATGGTATAAATATTGGAAGACTTCCAGCATCAACACAAGAACCATCAGCAGGGCGATTCCTTAACCTCTTGCCGACCGCGCATAGCCGAATGACGGCTTCACCGCGGCCAGCCAGTTCTGAGTGGACGTCATATGACGTCCTCCCAGAACGCGCTCCTGCGCCTGGGGCGCTACGGCGATCTCCGTGATCGCTGTGTCCTGACACAGCTGATGTGATGTGGTGAAAGGCCGATCCCACCGGCCTTTTACCACGTGATCAGCGGTGTCCAATGACACGCTGATCACAGGGAAATGCAAGTGCCGGTTCTCGGCTGCACTTTCCTCACGCTGTCAGATCGTGAGAAAGTACTGCCGAGAACCGGCAGTTGTCAGAGCGGGGATCGGCACCGATCATCAGGGCACTGATGATCAGTGCCCTGATGATCGGTGCCCAGCAGTGACACCCGCAAGTTCCGCCCAGCAGTGCGCCCACTAGCCCCGCCCACCCGTTCCCAGCAGTGCCCCCACCTGTGCCCAGCAGTGCACCCACCTGTGCCACTCTGCAGTGCCACCTACCTGTGCCCAGAAGTGCCACCTACATGTGCCCAGCAGTGCCACCCACCTGTGCTCACCCACCTGTGCCCACCAGTGCCACCCACCTGTGCCCACCAGTGCCACCCACCTGTGCCCACCCACCAGTGCTGCCCACCAGTGCCACCCACCAGTGCAGCCCAGCAGTGCTGCCAGTCAGTGCCACCAGTCAGTGCCCAGGGGTTGTGCCAGCCAGTGCCGCCAGTCAGTGCCCAGAAGTGATGCCAGTCAGTGCCGTCTATCAGTACCCATCATCAGTGTCACCTATCAGTGCCGCCTATCAGTGCATATCATATCAGTGCCGCCTATCCGTGACCTCTAATTAGTGCTGTCTATCAGTGCCGCCTATCCGTGCCACCTCATTAGTACTGCCTATCAGTGCCCTTTAGTGCTGCCTATCAGTGCCCATCAGTGCCGCCTATCAGTGCCCATCAGTGCCACCTCATCAACGCAAATCAGTGAAGGAGAAAAAATACCTGTTTGAAAAATTTTATAAAAGAAACAAATAAACTTTTTTTTTTTTTTTCCAAATTTTTTGCACTTTTTTTAATTTATAGCGCAAAAAGTAAAGCGCCCAGTGGCGATTAAATACCACCAAAAGAAAGCTCTGTTTGTGAGAAAAAAATGATCAAAATTTCATATGGGTACAATGTTGCATGACCGCGCAATTGTCAATCAAAGTGCGGCAGCGCTGAAAGCTGAAAATTGGCCTGGTAAGGAAGGGGGTATAAGTGCCTGGTAGGCAAGTGGTTAAGAGTGCACGGAAAAATAATAGGTGTCTGAAAGGGGAGCCATGTTTCTGTGCAAAGGAAGAATGAAGGCAGAATTTCCCAGACTGCTAAGAACAACTCATTAAATGTGCCAATAAAAAAAAAAATCCCATAAAAATCAACCAGAGCACTTAAAGGGTCAGTCCACTAAAATGGGCTAGTTTTTAATATAGTCCAAGCTGGCGAGAGGAGCCAGCCCCTGGCTTCTTGTGTGTCTGGCATTATACAACCGAGTCCTCCCTACCACAATTCCCAAATCTTCCCCTGCCCACCCGGGAGTTCCAGGTGTTCTTTCCCACCGTTGTGTGGCCCAGCTCTTATGGCTTTTGGTTTCTTCATAATAAATAAAAATTCCAGAAAGAAGACCAGAACTTCTAATCCTAACCGCAGGTATGCAGAGGTGGGAACCCAACAAGGACATCTCACCAATAAAGTGTCTGACAAAAGAGCCTGCCGGATGATTTTTCCATTAACTCCTAAAAACGGAGATATCACGTTTGGGTGGGCCATTCCAAAACAGTGCAAGTCTTATTCAGCTGCATTTGAGTGGCTTTTCTGCCCCCCAGCTGCGGGCTGGAGGAGGGAGCGTGAGGCCCGGCGGCCGGTAGAGGGAGCGCGAGGCCCGGGGGCCGGTAGAGGGAGCGCGAGGCCCGGGGGCCGGTAGAGGGAGCGCGAGGCCCGGGGGCCGGTAGAGGGAGCGCGAGGCCCGGGGGCCGGTAGAGGGAGCGCGAGGCCCGGGGGCCGGTAGAGGGAGCGCGAGGCCCGGGGGCCGGAAGAGGGAGCGCGAGGCCCGGGGGGAGCGCGAGGCCCGGAAGAGGGAGCGCGAGGCCCGGGAGGCGCGAGGCCCGGAAGAGGGAGCGCGAGGCCCGGAAGAGGGAGCCGGAGGCCCGGAAGAGGGAGCGCGAGGCCCGGAAGAGGGAGCGCGAGGCCCGGAAGAGGGAGCGCGCCCGGAAGAGGGCGCGAGGCGGGGGCCGGAAGAGGGAGCGCGAGGCTCAGGGGCCGGAAGAGGGAGCGCGAGGCTCAGGGCCGGAAGAGGGAGCGCGAGGCCCGGGGGCCGGAAGAGGGAGCGAGGCCCGGGGGCTGCAGGCCAGAAGAGGAAGAGAGAGTGAGCCCGGAGGCTGCAGGCCGGAAGAGGAAGCGTGAAGCCAGGAGCTGCAGGCCGGAAGAGGAAGCGTGAAGCCAGGAGCTGCAGGCCGGAAGAGGAAGCGTGAAGCCAGGAGCTGCAGGCCGGAAGAGGAAGCGTGAAGCCAGGAGCTGCAGGCCGGAAGAGGAAGCGTGAAGCCAGGAGCTGCAGGCCGGAAGCTGTCATGGTTTGTTTATACAGCATGAAGTGTGTGAAACAACAGCAGCAAAACCAAATATTTTGGCAAATAGGTGAATTACAACATATTTAGCTGTTTGGCAGGAGCTTACCC